ACAGTTAGGATGGAAATTCTGGCTGTTTCAAACAGCCCAGTTTCCACAGGCCTTGAGGGTGGAAGGGGCTTAATCGAAACAGAACTGTTTTCCTCAAGTCCCAGAGCTGCCACATTTCATTGCCCAGCTGCTCACTTGGATGAGGAAGAAATAGAAAGGAGCCAGTTTCATGGAAAATCATGGTAGGCCACAATCTGCAGAATTAACAAAAAAAGTTATCTGCTTACCAGGAGCCAGTCACCTACAATACTGCAAATTTGATCCTGGGGGAAGGCTGCTGGAGAAAAGAGTAAAAATTTCAGGGAGACTGTGCTGCTTGACAAAGAATTCATTTGGTGCTAATGGTTCTGCTTCTTGCTACAACATGAACCACGCTCCCAAAAGGCAGTGCATGAGCAGGCACGAACAATAAAGTGATTTGTTCTCAGGGAGGATTCAACCTCTGCCAACAGTCAGCCGGATCCAGGCAAGGGCTCGGACACAGACCGGCACACGGCAGCCCAAATGAGGAACTCTATCACTTGGCACACAGCTGCTATTTCCAGCACTTTCATCCCATCCTCACTCCAGCTCAACTTTTTCACCCTTCAGAGGAGACCTAAATCTGGATCTACAAAGGCCAGAATTTTTTCTTGAGATCAGTAGGAGTTGTCCTTGAACTCTTAAAATCCCTCTGCAGGTGGTCTGATTGTCAAATGGCCTCAGCGTTTGTAGCTGTCACATACAGCCCACTATAAAAGACACCTTAAACATCTACAGAATAAACCTTATTGTTTCAGGTATCTGCTACTTTTCATTTGTCCTGTTTATTTGGTTGCTCAGAAGAATTAGCTCTCACCATTATTAAAAGAAAAACAAGTAAAATGAAATAACACTTTAAAATTCTTTAAAGTTGAAAGCTAGCAAGGCATATTGAAAACAATTTTTGAAATTAAAAGCAGTCCTACGTCACTGGTATGCAGAGTAAACAAAAAAACTGACACTCCCAAAACTGTTGCCTTAATATTATATCAGAATAGCATTTCACATACTTGAAGAAGATAAGAACAAAACATTAAAGTTGTTCAGGTGACAACTTTAATGAAATAAGATTTCTTACTGCTTATGTGAAGCATTCTCGCTTTCACTGCCATCAATTACTGCCCTAGTTTCTTGGAAACTTGGACCATATGCCAATGACTGCTGACAGAACTTGTACAAAAAGGACACGTTCCAGAAAGTTATTAGATGTCCTAGGATGTGCCACTGAGCCTGTTGTTCGGAGAGCTCCAGGTCCTCAAAAAGTGGAAATTTGGATCATGATGCTGTTACTGAATACAAAATGTCACTGCAGGGCAGAGAGCAGCCTGGAGTTGGGAGGAAACTTTCTCTGAAATATCAGATCCCAACTCCTGACAAGACATCAGGCTACAGAATTACTGGTCTGATAACATAGTAGGACAATGTTCTATGCTCTGCACCCAGAAGTCGTTTTCTTTTTCAAATCCATTAGCAGCAGATTGCCATAGCTTGGCCAGAACAGTCTACTCTTAGTCTGTTTCGCTTGTCTTGAAACCTCTTGCTATTTCTCACCAGTCAATAAACTCTCAAGAGTCTCCCTCCTTTCACAATTTTTATGAATAGGTTGGGAAAGTGCAGCCTAGCCCAGAGAAAGCCACGTGGCTCAGTCACAGAGGTATTCTGGCACAGGGTTCCCACAGGATCAGTGAGGTTTGCACGGCTATAATTATATATATCCTCTCTGCTTGCCATGCCCACACAACTCCTCGAGCTCAGGGGCCCACACAGCACAGGAGGTGTCCGGGGTGCCTGGCATGGCTCACTCACTCCTTCCTTAGACTCAAGCAAGGAGCACCCCCCAACTCTCTCAGGAAAGTGACTGCAAGCGTGAGGATGGTCCAAACAGCCAGGAAGTTCTGTCTCAAAGAGAAATTTGTAGCCCCCAGCTCCACAGTAAGTCTGGATACACTTAAACACCTGCAAGGAAGGCAGTGTGTTGGCTTTCTGGCTACCACCACGCCAAGATGTGCGTGAACACCATGCAGAGCTCCTTATCTCTGCACTGCCATCTCCACCATTATTTATAAAGATTAGTGAAACTTTGTTTAAAGGGACAACTCAAAGCCAAACCAAGCAACCACTGTCCCTTCCCACCACAACAATATTTTCCCTCCAGAGAACTTCCTTGCTTGTCTTCCCTAACACACTTAAATTGCACAACAAATAATATCTCTGATAGCAACCCAGTGTCACTGGTGGCGTCCCACATGCCTGGGCTCTCCTCATGAGAGACCACAAACAATGAGTGGTTCATGCCTTCTTTGCAACACTTCTGAGTAAACAGCATCACCTCTGCAGAGGCAGGCCAGGCTGAACTGAAGGGAGCTGTGTTTTCCATTTGGAGATAAAATTTGTTTGGGACAGAATTTGTCAATAATAAACTGGAGTGAAATGTAAAGAAATGCATACAAAAAAGCTGCATGACCTCCAAACCAAATATATCAAAAAGAGAAAGAAGGAAAAAAAAAAAACCTTTAAGAGCATATTTATCTAGTCATGGAAAGATAACATTAAAGCACTTGTACAGAATGAGCCCTCTGTGCAAACTACAGTAGACTTACAGTCTCAAATAACACTCTGCATAAACAAAATGACACTGAATATACAGTAGTTGCATCCAAAAGGCACAGTAGCACCATTAGGACTTTGGTCCCGGAAAAACTTTCCTTGCAGATCCGTGTGTCGTTTGCAAAAATTTTATTTGCTCTTTGTGAAAGAAATTACAACCACTCTAAGGGCAATCACACCCCTCCCACCGGGGCAGCAATTTCCACTGCTCCTGTAATGAGTTCCCCAGGAGGGTGTTGAATCTAGTAGCTGTCTCTTTATGGCACAAGCAAAAGACACCCAGCAACTTTTCAGAGTGAGGTGCTGAATTTGATGTGTGTGTGCTACTGACCTCCATTCAGGGACCTTTCCACTCCAAAGAGCGAAGTTCCATGAACAAAGGCAGAATTGACCTTTTTCATTAGCTTCAAATCTTCTGACTGCCATCACAGGGGCTTTTTTGTGAAGACAGAGGAAAGGACATGTTACTTCCTCAGCCTCTCAAATCACTGTTCAGCTGATAACTTATTTCTAAGCACATCCATAGTTTCTCTCAGGCATTTGGAAAATTACGATTCTCATGTACTAATATAGTCTTGGACTTCATACTCACACAGCTAAGAGAACATGGGAAAATATAGAGTTCTGCACTGCAAGAGGCCTGAGCAAGAAACACACAACCACACACTCTTCAGTTTGTTCCTTTCAGTCCAACTCAGCAAGATGCATTTTGCTTTTCATGAATCTTGATCTGCTGGAGCAGCTGCCACACCTACCAACCACCTTGGGGTGTCTGGCAAGGGGTGGTGAAGTTTTACCTCAACTCATAAAATCAGTGAGGTTTTGGGGTTGTTGTTCCCCACCCCACTCCCCGCAAAAAAAAAAAAAAAAAAAAAAAAAAAAAAAAAAAAAAATTAGTCTGCTCTAATCACTTTTCAAAAGCTGCTCTCCATTTTACACAATCTGATCTAGCATGAACATAGCACAGATCCAACATGAAACAAAGCACTGCTGTAAGATAAAGAAAACTCAGGTACTGGAGCACTCAATACATACATGGTGTTATTCATGTATGCAAATGAACTGCTTAGCACTTCATTCACAGCTTGGTTGTTGATGTTACAGTGCTGGAAAAACCCCAGAATTTCAGAGGAAATTCTGCCTACCCTGGAAAGCCATGAGGTGAACTTTTATGGCTGTTTTCCATTACTGCCTTTTTGTGAACCAGAGGACATTTTCCCATTAGTTGTGTATCAGCTCTGAGAGGAGGCAGATGATTCTAAGCACAAGTCAGAGATTTTCTGTGACTCCTTTGTCTGGTATAGGGATCTGTGTGACAGAGGCTAGCAAGTGCTTGTAGTCACTTCATGTCCCGTGTAGTTTGGGACCCATACTCTGGCTGCTTGGTGTTAGGTCAGTGTTACTGAGTAGTAAATTGTAACTTCCACATGAATTGATTGGATTTTAAACTACAGGAGGTCTTCTCCTACAAAACACCCCCATTCTGATTTAAAGTCTATCCAAAGGGGTTTCCTGAACTTGTGTGTGGGAGCCCTTTCTGCAAATATTTGACACAGCATCACTGATCTCAGTGGGTGTGAAGCAACAACATCAGTGAGCTGGCACCACAGAGCAAGAGGCCCAATTCAATGTCTTGTCAGAAGCACAAAGCTTTCTTCTGGCTCTACGGAAATGGCTTTACAACTCTTTACTTTAGGGGAAGGCAGTGTCACTATAGAAGCTGCTTTACCTTTCAGGCTGTGTTCCACTTGTTTGCTCTCCAAAACCAAAGCCTTACCTTCCCTGTTTTCATACTCATTCAAACATTCGTTTCTCAAGTCTCACTAAGGCAAATACACTGTTTGTTTTTTGTACATCTCTGCCTCAGCAGCAGCCAAGTTCCAATGCAAACTGCATTTATGTGTCCTAGCAGCTGTCACATAAAGGGGTGTTACTGAAAAGCCAACCCCCAGTGAAGACTTCAGTGTTTCCTGGTCGCTGTTACTGTCGAGAGAAAGAACAAACAGCACTAGCTTTGTAATTCACTGGCAGAACTAACTGCTGCTTTTTATTTAGTGGAAGGATTTCTGATATCTCTTGCCTAGCCAGCACTTCACATGCACCAAACACCGGCACAAATTCCATAAAGACATAAACACTCATTGCTCTGAAGTGAAGAACATAAAAAAAAACAATAAACACCAAAGATGGAGCACAGTTACATGAAAAGAGAAAGCTGCTTCTGATCTGTTCACATTCTCATGGTTTCTTCTATGAATGAAGAAGCAAAGCTCTTCATTCCAGGGAAAAAAAGAGATTTTCCACTCCACAAATGTTAAACAGTAGAATTAACAAAAAAAAAAAAAAAAAAAAAAAAAAAAAAAAAAAAAAAAGCAGAAAGAAGGATTAGGACTAATTGCTGCAGATGAAGACCTCAGAGGTGAGCATGGATGGTGCCTTGGGCACTGTAACAGTGTTTTTCATTGGGTACAGGTCAACCAGAAGCTGATAAAATACCTCCTTTTCAGGGTCTGGGGGCCATGCAGATCTCACTCGACACAGGACTGCTCCGGGCTGGAAGGCTCTGCACATGTGGCAGACAGTGTCCCTCTTCAGGCAGATCCTTTGAACACAGACACCTCCCAAACCAGTCACACAGGCAAAATTTTTAAAGAAGCAATTGGCAGGCTGCTTCAGCAAGCAATAAGTAAAAAATACAGTTTCTTGGTAAAACTCCTGGGCTGAGCCTACATTCTGTTTCCAATGCCATTTACACTGACACAGAAGGCAGAGAGCAAGAGTTTCTTCTCAAGGTGGCAATGTCATTTTAGAGTAAACTATCAGAAAATATCCATCTCCCATGACAGTCCTGAGCTGCTGCTCAGACCTCGAGTTCTAATAACAAGGCCCTTGTCTTAGCCAGTTTTAGAGCCCACAGACACATCCCATCAGATAATCCCAAATCCCTGTGCAAGGCCTGCAGTGTCAACAGCCTCACTCTCCTCTGCAGGTCACCAGTAAAGCTCATTACAGGAAGCTCGCTCTGTCCTTCGACAATGTGACAGGTGATTCTCGAGGAAAGGAACTGTTCTCACTTCTTGTAGGACTGGCTGCCTGCAGAAAAACATCGAGAAAGGGTCTGTCAGCTGAAAGCAGGATTTATTACAAGACAGGAGCTGCCCGAGGGCAACACTTGTACAGGGACACAAACATTGCAAAAAACATGCAGAAAGGCACTTTAACTCGTGATGCTGCAACTCAAAACTGCAGAATGCATTTATGGCAACCCCTTTTCAGGGGATATTGAGAGAACTGAAAGGGCATAACCAGGGCCCAGTTGCACTCCTGACAAAAAAATTCCCCAAGGATCAGAGTGGATTAAACCACACAACCGTGTCCACATGGAACACAGTTGAAAAGGTCTAAATTTGGAGGTGCCTATGCTCCCTGTGGAATTCTGTGTTTCATCCATGCTGCCAGTGTCATCCATGTGCCAGTTTGGAAGTGGAAATCACAGAGGATCCCAGCATGGCTGATTTTATTTGGAGGAGCTTGCTTTTGCTCTAGAGTTCAGTTAACAGCAGGGGCTGCATCTTGGGCAGGATTCTGGCCCCAGGCCTGTAGCTACACTAAGTACCTGGGCTTCCTCTACATTCCTCAGGCATTCCACATACTCCATGCTCCAAAAGGAGCAGTCCAGCTAGTTCAGGCAGGTTTACATAAAATCAACTTGTTTCCAGAAAATACACCTGTAATAAATACTAAAATCAAGCTAAAAATGTGCCTCTAAAATAAGTATATGCAGCAAGTAAAATCAGAACGTCATCTTTTTCTCATTGTGTCCAGCAGCTATAAAAACTTGCATTTCTCCAGAAATATTAAGAAATGCACAAATTAGTCTTCCACTGGAGCAGTCTCTTGATATGTAAAGTCCTACATACCTATGCAGCAGGCAAATGGGAGGCAGCAACTGCTGGAATCTACTGATTACTGGTATCTGTGCATCTGATACCATTTTTGACCTGCAGATGAGTCAGCTAGGAAATTAAAGGAGCAGTAAGAACAGAGCTTCACTAGGGAAACGTTAGGGGCTCACTTGCTTCAGAACTCTTCCCTGCATCTTTAAGTAACAGCTGAGAATTACCTTTGAGAACCTCAAGTTTCAGTGTAGGTGATTAAAATTCTTTTTAGTCCTTCAAAAACCTGGTGCTTACAACCTTCATGTAACTCTTCCCACCTATAAACACCTGTGTGAAAGTCCCTGCAGGATGGACAAGAACTAATTGGTGCTCTGTGACAGCAGACAACAAGGCTGGATACATGTACACAGAGTGAGTGGAAGATTAGCTGTTTGCAAAATAATTTATTTGCTATTTTTAGCAGGAAGATGTCAGTCTCAGATTCAATAAAAGAGAGAAACGGAGAATTTCTAACCAGGCAGAAGCCAGGGAAAGAGTTGGAGAAGAATGCAAATAATCTTTTATCTCTCTGTGCGTCATGCACTCTGCACCAATGATGTGGCTTCTTTTCACTTCAGGACCAATGGAATTGGCCTGGAAGAAGCTCTGTATAAAGAGCAATGCATTTCGAAATAAATTGGAGTTTTTCTCTCAACAGCCTTCTGAGCAGAGTCTATTCATTCCCATCCTGCCTCAAAAGCATCAGGAAGAAGTTCACATTTAATTGCTGACACTGTCTCGTGGCAGATGTGGACAGAGAGAAAATGATAACCTGGAATCCCAAGTAAAAAATTGGGAGAAATGGTAAATGGACACACAGCAAGTTTGGATGCCTGCTATACATTCAGCATACATTCCTAGCAAAGAGAAGAGGTATAGTGTAAAACAAATAAAACAATAAAAGTTAGAAGAGCTCAAGTATCTGGACTAACAGATCACATATACTGAATCCACCGAGAACCCGAAGTGATCTACTTTAGAGCAATTTAAAAATAAAATGCATTTAACACTGTTCCACTGGAAAAGGATCTCGCTCCAGAGCCTCCTGAAAGCAACACTGGTCTGTCACATCTTTCCTAGGACACTCTGCCCAGGAGTGTAAAGCTGCCCTGGAGAAATTAGAACATGCAGAAGATTTTTTTGTGCACACACACACACACACACACACACACACACACACACACACACACACTCTGTACTTTTCCTTCCTTCACTAGGGCTTCTTTTCAATGGCCAATGCTTTTGGAAATGAACTGAAACAGGAACCAGGGGCAGACTCTTGGGTGTTAACACCAATTCCAGTCAGGGCAGAACAGTGCTGCTGCCACAGGAAACAGAGAGCACTGATGTCAGAGGTAAAACTCGGGGCACATGCAGCAAAGGTAAAGCTGAAAGAGCTGCATTACCTCAGCACAGGAGTGTTGAAGCAAGGAGCCTCCAGGTCAAAACCTCCTTTTGCCACCAAGAACATTCCCTTCCAATGCCTCACCTGTACTCCCTGAAGAAACCATACCACTTCTCTGCACATGCAACTGTGTGGAACAATGAATGAACAACACAGGAGGCTCAGAACGCTCTTTCCAGCACTGTTACTGGCTTACTGGGTTATTTAAATTCTCTTCATTTCCTGTATCTGTAATGAGTAGCTAATGATATACAACATTTTGAGTTTCTTGGGAAGGTATTGACTTACTATGTTTTTGTCAAATGCCTCAAGGTAATAGTTACAGCTGAAGAATAGAGCTAAACATTGCACTGTGATCAAATAATCATCACTAAACTTGTTATGATGCCATGCTCCTACCAATTTCACTGGTGATGGACACAGAGTTGTATTTGAATCCAGCTGTTCCTATCCACACACCTGGGAAAAAGTTTGTTCATTACTGAAGAATGTACATTTCTTCCCCCTCCACTCCAAAAAACTCCACAGCTGACACACCACATGTGTTTACTGATGTGTGAGCATCCAAGATCAATTTTTCCTCTGTACTGAGCTTGTGTTGCCTGGCTCAAAGCAAGTGTCCATCATCTTCCTCCATCCTCAAGTCAAAGCCACCCTCTCTTCTGAACCCCCCAGAGATGAAGTACTTTTTATAAACTTTTGCAGGCCACAGCATGGCCATGTGGCACTTGAGTATCAGTCTCCAGCTGCCATAAGCAGCACACTGTGCTTGGCTCTCTGCTTACCAAGCTGCCCTGAGCCATCTCCTGAGCTCAGGAGCTGTGAGCTCTACATTGAGGTGGGGTACAAATGTAGAGCACATGACATGTGCTACATTCAGCTGCAGTGCAGACACACCCAGGGATCTGACTTCAAGTTACACAGTGGGATGAACAAATGTCTAAAGAAAAGGAAAAACACTGATGACATCTAGAGAAGGTCTAATCTGAGACTCATAAGCTTCCCCAAAAACTTTTGAGCATTTGGGTCACTTTTCTCCACCCAGAGACAGGACAAAGCATGTCTTTTAACTGCTCACATGACAGCCTGGAAATAGGAGCAGTGCTCAGCAGGATATAATTACATGGTTGTACATCCTGCAGATGACAAATACAATGTCATATACTCCTGGCACATTTGCAGCTTACCACTTCATTCCTGAAGAGTTTCTACAATGCTCCCTACTTTCCCACCCAAGGAATGACAAACAGAACAATGACATTTTCCACTTACTCTGTCTACTCCTTGTAGATCCTGAGGAGCTTGGATGGCTTGATTGTTGGGGTCCAGACTGAGAGAACTGGGGGGCAATGCCTGGGACCTTTCCCTTTCTAGGGCTGGTGCCCTGCCCGTCAGGAGTGCGAGGGATCTTAGGTTTGCTGGTGAAGGCTTGGGCAAACTCACTGGAGCAGGAGAGGGAAAGGGTTAGCAATGCATGGAGAAATATTTATGCATAGTAAGTCTGCAACCAGGTGAAACCTGCAGTACGTGCTGTGACAGCCTGGCAGGTGCTCAAACCTCAGGGAGGCTGCAAATGGAAAGGAACATGGCACCACAGGCACTACCTGGGCCTGAGCTCACTGCACTGCCTCCAACCTGGCTCTATCGACCTGTCCATCCTACCCAAACCTCACTCTGCACAACAGGAGTGAACAGAGTCAGCTAAATTCCCTGCAAACCAGTAACTGATCTTTAGCTTGTTTTCTGTTGTGTTTATCCAGTGACTCGTTCTGGGGTGCAAAAAATACACAGATATGCTACAGCACAGGAACACATCCTTTTAGAGCACAGACACCACAATTTCTTCCAGGTATAGGTCAATCTTGGCAGACATAGGCAGCCTCCCTGGCTCATGTCTGGGATAAGATCTGTAGAATTCCCTGAAGGCTTTGTCAAGAGAGCAAAAAGCTGTGACGGCATCTCTAAAATAAATTCCCTAAACAAACGGGTTCCTTGCTCACACTGAGAACATAAAGCAGGTGCTGCTATTTCACAGTCTGCAAAAATACCATTCTTTAAAATTTAATCAGTAAATGTGTGAGGATACACTGTCTTTCCTTGCCCCCAGCATAAATATAGTTTTCCCCAGTTACAAAAATGGAGGCTACCAGGAAATAGAAAGTCTTTAAAATAATTCTGAATCTAAATTAATGTTTGCACTAGAGTCGATTTTCTCTTGAAATAAGAAAAGGCTACATGAAGTAACAGCTACATGAAAACATCATATTTTAAAAGTGAAATGAAAGAGCAAAGGCAGGATATCGAAAAAATAGGTGCTATAAAAAAAAAAAAAAATCAGTGATTCAAATAGAAAGTTCCCGTGTTATTAGCTCCATCAAAAGAACCCTTTGTGATCATCAGAAGGGGGTGATTAGGGGGATTTTCAAGACATTTAATCTCTCCTCCTCCCCTGGGAATGCTGCTGAGTCAGTACTGATTAGCCCTTCGAAGGCCCTGCTTCACCTTGCAGGGAGATTTGAGCAAGTGTTCCTTTTGTATTTTAAATAGCATTATTGTCTGTATTTTGCATATGTATATGCTAAATGTTAAGGGCAGAGACCTGCTAATTGTTCTGCTAAGAACCATCTCTGCAGCCTTCTACCTATGACTATTGCAAGTGCTAAAACTTGTCTCAGCTTCAAAGGAGGAGGTGACAGATGGCAGCAGAAACAGATTGGTAAAGCAACACGGAAAAATAAGACTGGCTAGATAAAACCTCAAGGCGTGGACCACAGAGATATTTAAACATCCTTATATCTGCATAGCAGTATCATTGTTATTGATTATTTTGTCATTTAACTCAGTCTGACCTGCATCAGCTGGAACAATCATTTGCTCCTGTGGAAATAAAACAGCTGTAGCAGAAATGTCACTACTAAGGTCTCATTCTTCTCTCCAATTTATTTTGCATCCTTTCACTCATCTCTGTTCAGTTAAGTTCTCAATTTATACTGCTAAGGAAGAGGGGAAAGAGAAGTCACCACTTCCACAGCCCAGCTCAGCCCTCCTTTTCTCATACATACATCTTCTAGAAAGGTCTTGGCATTTGCCAAATAGGTATTTGCCTCCAGGAAGGAGACAATTCTTACAGCGGACAAAACTACGAGCAGTGATTTATTAGTCCTGTTTGTTTGGCAAACAAATTATAGTCTGCATCCAGGAGTGAAAGAATGAAAAGGCAGGTCTAGGTATTGCAACACCAACATATTAACAAAAGACCCTTGACACAGAAAACCCTGAGCTCTCTTTGACTGCGAATGGCTGCATTCCTGTATCTGTACCTCAAGGCTGCATTTGGAAATCCAAATTACTGCATGCATGCTGAGGAAACAGAGGGTGAAAAGATATGATCTTCCTCTGCAGGATACTGCACCTGTGTCTTCACTTCTATAAATTCCATCCTGAGATTTAGACATATGTTTGTGAACAAATACTAAAAATGACTGGGAACACACCTTTTAAATAATAGGTTATGTAGAGAAGCAAAGCATCTCACTAGGGTGGGGGACAAGATGTTGCCAATTTGACTTGCTTCCTGGAAGCAAAGCCTGAAAGATTAATATCCCTATCTCCATCACAAAGCAAACAATTTGGCCATAAATTTGTATGGTCTATTTGTATTTCTATTATGTGCTTAGCTACTGTTACAACAGACAACAGAAATAAAACCAGCAATGCTGGCCCAGAGGTATGACTGCTAAGCACCTCAGTTGAAACCAGTGACAATTTATTGACAATGTGTAATTTCTCAGATCTCACCATGGAAACAGTACAACTGGGAAAAAAAAAACCAAACAAACAACCAAAGCCACATCAACCCCACAAAAAAATCAAAACCACACACTGGCATCTGTAGGCATGAAGGAAACAAAGTTCTAGACACAGAATCTTTCAGAAGTGCTAGAGCTGTAATTGACACAAATAACTAAACACTTCTGAAAAATCAGGTGCATAAAGAGCTTGTAAAAGCTTTCCTTTAACACATCTCCACCCATTCTGCATTTTGTTCTGAACATATTTGCTTTTAAAATTTGTCTACACTGTTTAAAACTTGGCCCAATATAACTAGCCATAGGAAAAAGCTGTTAATGTCTGAAGGACACATGCAGGCCCTGAAAACTTTGGTAGACTTTAGTCCAATTGCTAATTAATTCCCAGTTCTCATCCAAGATATAACATCACAGTTGTACACATCACACATCAAGTAACTTCACAGATTGTCTTTACAGCAGCATGGAATTAGCTGGAAAATCCTGTCAGACTCCTATTACAATTTTAGGTATCCTCTGGATAGATCATACCTGTGTGATTGACCATTTACTTTGTCCTCAGTGAAGTCAGCAGATTGAGAAGATAGGGTATCACCAGCTGGGATGTGTTGGTCCATTCTATGGCCTGATGCAAATACTTCAGATGACTTCATTTCAATTGCTGCTTAAAAAGGAAACATAGTGCAGTGAGGAGTTGTCTCCTTACAGTTTTATTAGAAATACAATCAAGTTGCAGATCTGCTGTATGAAGGAAACTTTGAGGTTTTGGCAGGCTACTGAGTTTGTGTGGCAGAGTGTATTAAGGCTCATCACCTGAGCAAAACAGCTGCAAGTGTGATAATTTAAGCCCTTTGCAGTTGGAAAATAAAACTGGCTACACTATGCACTTGCAATGGGAGAGGAGCATGCAGACCCGCAGTTAACACACTTCAGCTATGTCCAACAGCTCATTAAAGCCACAGGAACCCAACCCCTTGCAGTTGTCTGTACATATCCACAGTAACAGGGCCACTGCAGACAAAAAGAAGTGTTTTACACTTCTGTCAGATTCAATTTCTGCCTTACACTAATGGAGAAGTGAAGACACTCAGTTTGCTTAGAACCACAAGGCTACCAAGATGTGCAAGTTCAATGAAAGTTTAGGGAAAATCCCTAGCTCCATTCCTGCCATGCTCAGGACAGGCTGCTGTCCTGGTTTGCTCTCTCATGCTGATAAGAATGCAGATCAGGGCACTCTCAGACAGGCATTTTGCTGCCCAGCACATGTTCTGTCTGGCATTCAGCATAGTAAGTGTAGGAAGATGACCAGGGTTCATATTTGGGCCACAAGTTTTCTGCCCACAGGAGACAAAAAATAAAAGAGGGCAAGAATTATTGATTCTTAACCAAAGGATAAAGGGGGAGAGGATGGACCCAGACAAAATCAGACCAGTCCAAGAACAACCAAATATTTCCAGGAGGACATTAAAGAACTAGGCTCATTTTTGGAAAATAAAAAAGGATCAAGTTTCCTGAAGCTAAACTTAGCCTCCTTGAGATAGCCCCTTGAGGAGACTAATTGTTCACATGAAGCTTTTATTCTGTTTTTTTCACTCTTTGTCTCTTACTATTCATTTTGTGACTTGGCTGCATCAAACTCTGAGTCCCAAGGTACTCATGTGATGTTGGGAAACAAATATTCTGAAATAAGCAGGTTCCTGGTACTGCAGAATGACCATTAGACCAAGATCAGAAGTCAATAAAGCATATTTATTGCACAGCAAAGATATTTGGCAGAGTATCATGAAAGCCTCTAGAAGCAGTACCATTACTTTTATACATTTCTGTTCCCTGCTTTACCTTAGAAGGCAACAGAAGAGAAATAGCTTATTTTCCATTGCCTTAAAGCCTTTTCAATTTAAATATTACAATCCCTATTGCCTTTTGGAAAAATGGAGATGTTCAAAGACCAAGCTCAATTATAATTCTGCAGAATAAAGTCTTGTCACTGACATAACAACCAGGGGGTCCAGCAGTGCAGTCTCTCTTTTCTCTTCCCTTCCACTTCATTTCTAATTCCCTCATTTCTAAATGTAATTCAAAAGATAAGACAGACAAGCACATATGTCACTGCTACTTGCAAAAACCCAAAACAAACCTCAGGCCATCTTTCAAGCAGCTCAATGTTATTTTATAACTTGGATTAATGATAGGAAAAATTTCCTCACAAATTATTTGTGTTTTTACATGTATAATTCATATAAACTAGCAATATGTTGTATGTTCTGACTGCAAAGATTTTTCTATAGGAAAATAATATAATCCAGTAGTCTTATTAGTAGCCACCTGCATATAATTTTGACTGAAAGCAGATAACAGATTGTTTTAAACAGGCTACAAGCAAAGTTCTGACAAAACTAAACATTTAAGCTGGCAGGAATATCTTCAGTATGAAGGCTTTAAATCCATCAAAATCCATCAAAAAAATATCCATCAAAAACTAACAACATTTACTTTACTGACTGACTCGGGCTGCTTGTTTAAACCTCTTCACAAATCCTACAAAACAAACTATCAGACAGCATCAGCAGCACAGCAAAAGTGACAGAGGTGAGTGAATGCATCTCACTGGAACGATATCAAAATCTGTTCACTTGGGCTCGATTGTTGCACAATGCCTTAGGAATTGCATTCAGTTACACTTTAAAACACCAAATAGGAACAATAACTACTTGGCTTAATTTTGTTTATGAAGCACAGGTATGTAAAAATATGTTCTTTTTTTCCTTCTCTCTGCAGGAAAACTGCCAAGTCAGGATGCTTTTACTTGGTTTACAACCTTTGCTGGTGTGAGTTGCTGCCCTTGGTTGGCCAAACCCCCAAGCTGTACTCAAGGTGTTGCTGTGCAGTGAGGCTGAGAGGAGCAGCTCTCATTGCTACCCAACAGCAAGAACCCAAGTGCCCATTGTGGACAGGAGCTTCTCCTGCTCCTATCCTCCTCTCCTTCAGCATGTTACATTTTTCAGCTCTAGGCATTACGAAAGCGAATTCCTGTCTGCAAGACCTCAGTTACTTTTCTCAGAATCCTTTTCATTTCCTTTAGGAAATTTAAAAAAATAGAAGAGAAAGTAAAAAGTATGCTATTCCTTTACTGCTTCAAAGCATATTTTTCAGAAAAGAAAAGGCACACTTTGCCTGAACTTATTAATAATTCTGTCCCGGATATGCTGCAAGATCCTTTATCTATGCTGCTGAACATTTTGCCTTAGATCTGTAATTGGAAATGTTAATGAGTCCCTCTAGGAAGGTTAAAACTCCAACGTCCAGTGTTCCATGATTTCGTGGATATCAGAAGTTTAGCAATCGAGTATTTCAGAAGGCTATAACCTTTTAAATTTCATCACATATTTCTGAGCTCTCAGGCCCAGCTGAGTTTGCATTAATTTCAGCTGAAGCTGCAAGGGCAGAATCTTTAGCAGCATCACCCACAATGCAGCCACACATCACGAGGCTGCCCATCCTCCACAGCCCTGGATGGTCTGAATGCAGTTGCAAATCTCAGCAGATAACTGCAGCTGCCTTCCTCTCTAACACTGAGATACAGCCAACAGAGCCTGCAGGTGCCAACAGACAGTGATTCATTTAGATCCAAACAAGGGATATTTGACCAAGCAAGGGGCTTTGCCTGTTGGGAAGTGCACTGTCTCTGACTGCAGCTCCTTCCCTGGGCAGGGGACATTGCAGAGTACCCTTCACACACCGGAAGCCCTGGGTTTGATCCTTGGCACTTCCACAGGAAGCAAGATGGAGCGAGGCAAGTGAGACCATTGGTGTCTGCTGGCCACACGTTCCCTTCTGTGGCCATTCATTCAGCTGGAGCTGAAGTCTCCCGTGTGCCCCAAGGTCCTGCAGACTGACCCAGGCTCTATAAACAGAGGGGCATTTCCACACTACACTAAAAGAATCCCCAATCAACAACACACAGACCAGGCCCCCTACACCTGCCCCAGTCAAGGAAGACATCAGCAATTAAGAACAGCACCCAGAGGCAATCCTTACAGGAGGGGGAAATGCAGAAGTCAGAAATGCTGGACTGTCTCCCACCACAAATGGAAGAAGAACCACTTGGTGGAGACTGCAGCTTCTCATCCCTATCGTGACAGGAACTGGTACTGTTTTCTGGCCTGGAGGAGAAAGGAGAATGCAAGGTGAATGCTTACAGTATAAAAAGTTTAATCAGAGTAAATTCTAATTTCTTCTAATTGCCTGTAATGACATAGTACACATTGAAATTATTTTATACTTCATATTGCAAACCAGTACTAAGGATGTAATTTTACTACTTGACTATAGCTCCCCCAACCCAGCTGACATCAAACATATTTGAAAATAGCATTTTTTCCTACTGCAATAAAAAAGGCAAGAAAAGGAAACTGTAACTCCCTGCAGTCTGAAGACCCAAAATACCACCATGACACTTAAAGACTGTAGAAATGGGTCTGAGAGGTCTTCAATACTTGGATTTTTCAAGGATTTAACATTTGCTTCTGAACAATACAAGGATTTCACTTTAAAAACCAATATACAACACAGACTTAAAACAAAGTAGGCAAGAAATAAACTCTTGATTTCACAAGTGAAGTATATCAGTGGGAAACTGAAGCAGCTGAAGGACAGAACAGGGACACAATTGCTTACTAGTAAGCAATAAAACACAGTACAAGTGTGAGGGTGTGAAAAGTGTGTGAAAAGAAGTTGGTAGACATGGAAAGTTTCCCTGCCCAATATCAGGTTAAGGTAACTAAATTACATTTCTAGTAAAAAGGATGCAGGCCAAGAAGGCAGTTAATGATTTCACAGCTAAATCAGTTTCTAAGGAAATAGCTAGCAGAATATTAAGTAGTTCAGGCCCCCTTGAGTGATCTCAGCCAGTGAGCCTTTAAAGAAGGAGGGGAAAATGAAAAAAAGAAAAAGAAGGCAGCTTTCCAGTATTTCCTGACTCCCTCAGCTCCATACAGCAAGAGCTTGTCCATACAGGGATCCCATGACAATTCATCTGAAGTAACTAGAGCCTTGTCTGCACTGGGAAGTCATAGAAAAATTAGCATGAAATGGCTGCTTCATGTGCAGTGGCTATTCTGCATTAATTTTTGGTGTGAATACTTCTATTCAGCACTAAAAATCTTCACCCCCCTCCTGTTTGGAGGTATGAACCAACAACTCAGACATGTTATAGTATCTCCTCAACTGCTTGCTCTTTCATGATGTTTTTAAATGCAATATATTACATGAAGTCTCACATAAAGAACTTCAAACAAGTTATGTCCACTTCAATTTTGAATGGAAGCATTTACAAAAAATTTTTATGTAGTTTAACCACTCTGTTGAATACGAGACTTCAGATCATTCAGATGAACTGTCCTGGATTGTATTTGGTAGACAAGCTGTATCCAGGGCAAAAATGTCTAACATTTTTCATGAGAATTCATATGATACAAGCCACTTAAATTATTTAAACTACAAAATATATCCAGTTCAGATACTGCTTTCAAATTAAGGCAGCTAAGTTTTTATTGTCTTTCTCCAGCAATAATTTCCAAGCGAGTATTTCCTTATTTTAGTAAATGAATTTGTACTAAAATCAGAACAGCATAAAATCTATCAAAGCTTGTCCATTTCTGCTGCAAAATGTAGTTAGAGAATGTCTTAATCTACTCACTGCAGTTTCCTGCACACAAAATAGTTAGGTACAAAGGACAAACTTCTCATTCAGGGTGGTACTCCTTGTTTCCTGCTTAAAACATGGGAGCATCAAACACTCATAGTATTTCTACCATTTGGGCAGAGCAGGAGGGAAATTAATTTTCACATATTTTCACAGTGTTAGATTTCTGCTGTTTACATTTCTCCTCTGTAGTTTGCATAGTGAGGCAATCTGTAAAGGCTGCTTCACACCATCAAACTAACACTTCTCTTAGACCAAGAGCTACCAGAACCAGCATGATAGAAATGTGTTTTTAATTTGTATCCAGCAGTGACCTGAAGTTGTCTTGCAGAGGCACAAGCTGCACAACTGAGAAGATTCAAGTTGTGCAAATACAAGAGTCGCATCACTCCAGGATCCCGGGACATTTAAGTAAACACCCTGCCTGGGTAGATGGTGCTAAAGACAGGCAGCAATCACTTCCAGAGATTATTTCTGATGCAAAAATTGCAGTGCAGTACACGACACTGGGAAATAAAAGGCACTCCCACGGGTTTGACACCATTTTTTTTACTTCCCAGAAGAAGTAATTTCATTTCCACAAGCTTGGTTTTCTCTCCACTTATAAAGCAAGAATGTAATGCTTAGACACTCCAGTGATAATGATGATTTATTCCTGAAAATATACTTTCTATATGCTGTAAGGCTGCCTGGCAGAGACTGAAATAGTTAATGCCTTAAACATTGTTAGGAAAGAGTTTTGCCCATTATAACACAAACAGTATAAAGAAGCTACAACCACAGAAGCTCCCCCTCCTTGAACATGCCTGGCTGGAACTTTGAACTGTGAGTTAAGCTGCCTAGATAAGATAAATGGGTCATTATGTTCAATCATCTCAGGTCTAGGAAGAAGCAAACAAGGCTGAGAGCAAGGAATGCACCCACAAGAAAGCCAAATGCAGCAGAGACTCATCCCTGGCTGGGTCTGGGGCGAGGGAGACCACAGCCCACAGAGGCCAGGTTGACACAGACTCCCCCTATGAAATGAGGGGGGGAGACAGTTTTGGTGCGGCCTCTAGTCAGAGGCACTGAACACCCATCCTGCCTGACACAAACTGGCCCAGCTGTGTAACCCCCAACCCCACAGGCCATATCCACAGGACACTGATGTGACAGCACAAACTGATGCAACACAGAGCCTGCTGCACAGACTTCTCAAACTGCCCCCCCCAGGCATTCCCACCTGGCCAGAGCATGTACTCATCCATTGGATTCTGTGCATTTGGAGCACCCTCACCACCAAGAAGACCAGAGCTGGAGAGGATCAGTGGAGCATCCTTGGGATCCACAGAGTGGTGAGACTTTCTTTACTCTGTCTCTGACACTCTCTTTCTGTACCCCCACCTCTTTTCTGTTTCTTTCTCTTCCTTCTTCTCCCTCTCTCTATTTGTTATTAAATAAAATGCACAATATTGACTTTAGCATATGGTCTTGTTAGCACCTTAATTTCGGCAGAGGAATTTCTAGTAACTTGAAAAACTGGACTGTAACACTGCCCAAACAGACAATTCCACAGAATCAGTCCAGGTCTCCAAGCCCACCATGGGGCACAACTGAGAAGATTCAAGTTGTGCCATACTTGAATGTAAATACTGTGCAGGGGAAGTGGGACCTTGAACTCTTAACACTGACTCCACAGTAAAGTGGCAATGTATATTTAGGCACAGATAACCAGTATGTGTATATTTAGGCATAGATTAACCAGTCTAGATTTTCAAGGCCTGCAGTTCTTTTGGAGGACTGCATGAAAATTATTAGATAATCACTATTTTACTAATATATTAATTAATTGCTGCTTTCTTCTGACACAAACACATACATTTAATATACATGGGGAGAGATCTTGCAAAAACTGTGGATGTTGTGATGGTGCAAAAAGTTGGCCACTGTAAGAAAAGACACAAAGTCAGAACTCCAAATCCACATTTAGGCTCTACCAGGCAGACAAAGTAGGGCCATGTTCAAACAAATGCCATTTTATCCAGGCCAGTACTTGGAAGAAAAATTAAGATTTTAAGGCAAATTCTGTCATGGGGTAGCTAAAAATTCTTCTGCTTTGGAAATGTGTATTTCTTTCATCTTGCTTTTTTAAAAAAAATAAATGTCTTCTGGGGTTTTGTCCATGCCCAGATCTGGTATGTTACACTTGTCTGTTCCAAAGCCCTGGTAACCTAATACATATAATCCCATAAGAATGGTACACATTCCTACAAGCAGGAATGCTAATTCCAGCATGAGACAGTGGGAGGCAAGATAAAGCTGCAATCACTCCTTGTCCAAAACAACAGACTTCACTCAGAGTCACCTACACCTGTGAAACTACATCAGTCCTCACCGTCTTCTGTACCCATTTTCCACACTAAAACAAGGAGAAAAAGTACTTTAAGAAATAAAAAATATGAACAGGAAAGCAAAGAGTGGCAGAGGGATGACATGGGACAATCTTCAGGACTGATATGTTTGAAGAACCACCTGTAATTTCATTACATTGTGCTTTTCAGGTTACCCATTCATTTTAACATACTTACCTATAGCAATCCTGTGAGTTTTGAGTACTCTTATCATACTTTGTTAGTCTTGTAGTCTCTCAGATTAAGTATTCATAGAAATGAAAATATTAAATCCTCACAATTAATATGCCTGTATCATAGCTACCTGGACTTGATCAAATCCAAAACTATGCAACTGAAAGTTAAAAAATCATTTTAATTTGTGATCTCATTGGTATTTTACTTCCTCAGTCGGGACAGTGAACAGGACAAATCTTGTCTCAGAAATTAAGATATACTTGTTCTAACAGAAGGCAGAGAATAATCAAGGAGTTCTGCATGGTAAGACTCCTTTATTCCATTTACAATAAGCAATCTACTGTGACCCAAATCACACCAAGAGTAAAGTACCACACACACTTCTGATGGAAAATGTATTTCTTCTAAAACAGGGAAACACAACATAACAAGATTTTTATCCTCTCCATTTTCTTTTTCATCTGTCTTCTAACAAACCTCCCCAGAGCAAATACACTTTGTTGCTTGTGAAGTGGAAGAGCCCAGGCATTGTAGATGTTTGATGCAACTTTCCAATGGAATATTTTATAAGAAGATGCAAGAACATGTGGGATAGAATGCAAATTTAAATAAATCTGATCAGTAAATATTTATTCAACTATTTTAAGAATGTGACCTCAGCCAGTGGACCTTTCTTTGCCTGCAATGTTCTGCTCCTTTTTTTGAAATTATCCACAATGAATGACAGTGGCAATACACTTTTAGATAGGGAAAGTTTAGATATTAGGCATTGTTATGGGATTATTTTCTTTGTTATACTTTTTAAAAGAGCTTTAAAAATCCATCTGGGTCTCATTTGTTTGGACTTACATTAGATATGCAGTTCTGTGATAACCTGGTGTCACAGGTCTCTGGAGAGGCTCATCTATACTCTGCTGGACACCAGCAAATTGCTTCTTCTTAGTTTTTGGAGTGTGAGTCATTATCTGATACACAAGAGAACATGAAGAAAAAAAATAATGCAGTGGATAAACAGGTATTTGAAGCCATAGAGAAAATTCTATAGAAATATTGCAGCAGAAGCTAAATTGCATTCTGGTGTCACTGGATAAAACTGCGTGGTATCACTGAAGGCTCTTTCATGACATCTTCTCTCAGGTCACTTTTCTATCATCAGGATTCTGGACTCTCCAATCCAGAAAGTGCACATTTATAATAGACTGGCTTGGATTGGAAAGGTTCATAAAGACCATCCAGTTCCAACCCCCCCTGCCATGTAGCTTTCACTACATCAGGTTGCTCAAAGCCTCATCCAACCTGTCTTCATACAGTTCCAGGGATGGGGCTGCCACAGCTTCTCTGGCAACTAGTGCCAGAGCCTCACCATCCTCATAGGGAAGAATTTTTTCCTTATATCTAATCTAACCTACTTTTAGTCTGAAGCCATTCCCCCTTGTCCTATCACTACATGTTCTTTTGAAAGAGTTCCTCTCCAGCTTTCTCGTAGGCCCTTTTAGGACTGAAAGCCCACAATAAGGTCTCCCTGGAGCCTTCTCCTCTCCACGCTGAATAACGCCACTCTCTGAGCCTGTTTTCACAGGAGAGGTGCTCCAGCCCTCTGTATATCTCAAATTAGTCACAGCACACTAAATGGCATTCATACAAACTTCATGCTTTTTTACTTAAGAGCTTTTTGCTGCTTGAAGTAAGACAGACAATACTTGATCCAGCACAATGCCTGCAGGAGCAGTTGACTTTTCAACTTTTCTTTTTTCTAAAATAATTTCAGACCAGCAGAATGTTCCAGTATTAACCTGCTCAGCACTGTGCTTTGTGTGCTCAGAGTCACTGGTGTAGCACAAGAGCCCTAAGGCTGCCTGTAGCTTATTATTAAGCCACAGCCTGACCACCCCTGTGAAAGGGTAGCTCCCTTCTCACACTGGTTCTGCTTCTCCTGAGCAGCAGTTCATACACAGACTGAGAAAGATTCAGACTGCTCTGCCGGTAGCACCTGCCTCTTCAAGCAATAAATTAATAAAGTGGTGAAACTACTGAAACAAAACAACCCAGGAAATTAATTTAAGATTCTAAGGAGTGGTACTCACTCCCAAGTACTCGGTTGTTAACAGCTTCTCTCCTGAAAGCTCCCCCAGCTGAGGCAGCAAAACTTCATCTTTGTCCAGATCAGGCTCCAGGATGTCACTGTCCTCCTGCAAGGCAACAAAAAACTCAGGGGTGCAAGGAAGCTTTAAAGCTGGTAATAAAAAAAAAAAATAAAAAAAAAAATAAAAAAAAAAAAAAGCTGGAAAGCTGGTACAAAAAGTATTTCAGGGTGGAGGGGGAAATTGCAAAGATTCGCTCTATAAATAGGTCTGGGGGGATTTTCTTTTTAACAAGGTTTGTTAATGCAGCCAATCCCGTTCCCTGGCATTATTTAACCTGCCAGGTAACCGAGCCTGAAAGTGTCCCCCCTTTGCCTCCTTGTACAAAATAAGGACTTTGCCCATGTGCCATCACTGCACTGCTGAAATAACACAATTGGTGCCCTGTTCCCCACTGCTCACAGGCTGCAGCAGATGTTGGAAGCCAAGCCCGTTAAGGTAATGGCTGGAAGCCCTGTGATTAAGCTGTTTCTTTTGATGTACTCTGTGGCTGAAGTGGATTTTCACACGGCAGCTCTCTGATTTTATTGCCAGGTGCCGAGTGACAGCAGATCAGAGGGTGTCTGATAAAGCGTCACTGTACAGTCACCTCACGCAGCTCCAGCTTGTAACTAAACATTGAAAAGAGAGCTACAATATCACATATGCACTTTAACAAGCAGCTTTTCAAGATGGTCCAAGTCAAATAAAAAACGAATGCAAAGATCAAATACTGAAGATAAATTAAGTTAGTATTTAACAGACCAGCCTAGAGAATACTGAGCACCAGGAAATACACACAGTGACTGTGGGTGTCAACACACCCCAGAAGGATGACATCTCAAGGCTGGGTATGTACTCCAGGAGCCAGTGTATCCTAAGCTCTACACTAGTTAATTTAAAGCTTACCAGACAAACACAAAAGCCAATTTATTCTGAATAACAGCACATACAGACATTTTTTGTAAGGTTATATGCTCCAGCATTACACAGTACTGAACCTTAAATTTCTGAACGTATGATGCCCTTAGAAATCCCAGAATTTTCCTCCAACAGGCTCAACTGCATCTTAGCCACAGTGTTTAGAAGAAAGTTGTTACCACAAGATCTGCTCAAAGCCAGGAGAGAATTCATCAACTCTAAATTAAACACAGATAAAAGCAAAAAACCCCAAAAAACCCCATGAAAAGCAATAGTAACAGCCTTGGGAACATTTGCATGTTCGTGTAAACAATTAAAGCTGGAGCAAAACCTGCAAATTAAACCTGCATGAGAGGCTTTCTGTTTTTTCCTAAGTTGTAAAGGTATAAATAGAGGTATTGAGCTACAAATTCTAATATCAGTAAGCAGTCTGAAAGCAAGTCACTAAATTGGCAAAATAGGCAATATATGGACATATCCTGAAATGTATTCAGTCTGTAGTAGTTTAAAAGTTACGTAAAAGCAACACTTTTGATAAAATGTTCCAAAGCTTTCTGTTGCCAGATCACAACATTAGATGTTATCACAGAACACCATTGAGAATAACTCACTGCAATTCCAAATTACAAAAGAGTTCCAGTCATTGAGGTAGTGAGTCAACAAATCTTTGTCTATTTAACAAAGTAACGTCATCATGCATTACTGCCATGATATTTGTAAACTGTATTTTCTAAACTGAGGGACTAAGAAACCAGATGTCCTTGCAGCAGAACAGAATTATAGTTCCCAGCAGCAATAAGGATTCAGAATGTGTTGCAATTAATGTTACACTAAAAACAGTTTCAAACTTGGCTTTTCTTTTTCATATAATGGCAAAGATAATGAAAAACTGCAATTGGACACAAAAGCCTACTGTTATTTTCTGAGTCAAATAATAAGAAATACCAGAAGTCCATTTTAACCACACGATGGTCCAGTGGCAAAAATACATTTCAATATTATTTGACCTAGAGCCTTTTCTGGGATTGTAAGCAGCAGCAGCTCATCTAGGAAGCAGGACTGAATAGGAGAATTCACCTTCCTTTCATTTCCAGGAACAGGTAAAGTGATGGAAGTGTTGAACATTAACATGCAATTCAATGCCACACCTTTCAGGAAGGAGTTGCTTATCGTGTGTTTTCACAACAAAACACAGTATCCTTTAAAAAAGTATACTGAAGTTCAAGCAAAGGTATTATCACCCTGGACTTTCACCATATACCCAAGACACTCAAAGCCTTGAAACGTCAGTTAAAAGGTGTTAAGCAGCATTTTAAGCAAAGGGAAGTTTTCATTATTCATTTCCAGGAAGCCCATCTTGCACCACAAGCACTGATTTTCGGTTGGAGGAGTGGAAAGATTATAAAAAATAGGCTTCAGGACTGCAGGAGGTGAAACAATTACAATAATCTAATCCTACAAGAAAAGTTTACTGTATTCCCTTAGAATTCACTTAGAACTCTCCCCTTAGAATAAAAAGGGGTGAATTGATTGTTAAATAAAACTTATTTTCTAGCTCTAAACTTAGAATTTCCACATTGCTCTAACTTTAGACAAAGGAGTTATTAGTTCACCACCTATTGTGCCACAACACAAAAGGTATACAATACACAACACAACATAAAAACTGGATAAATAATGCAACCAATGCAAGGCTTCCCTGGATGCTGCCAGGCAAACGCTGGATCCTGCACGATGCTGCACCCATAGCAGCTGAGAGCACACCACACCTGTTGCAGTCAGGATATTTGCATTTTTATCTGCTCTCAAAACAGAAAAAGCTCAATGTGCACTAGAAGATGCATTCTGTTACGCTGCAGTAACAGGACAAATTTTAGATTTGGTTTACCCCAGTCCTCGTCATTCCCATTCACGTGCAATGAGCTACTAGAATGTGGACACAACTAAGTTTTATCTGTCTTATTCTTTGATGGTTCAGGACAAAAAACTTATATATTTAGTCTAAACGCATGGTTTTCAGTCAATCTGTTCTGCAGTAACACTTCTAACACAAGATCAGTTTGCAGTTCACTCACTCTCCATGTCACTGATTCTTCAGGGCCAAACACATGCTATAAATGTATTTATACACACATATACACACCTAAGTATGCACAAATACTCTTTCCAGGACATTACCATAGCCTTTCTCAAGCAAGGCTTCTCAATAAAATAAAAATGCAGTGGGGTAGATTTCCTTAAGATAAAACTCCCATGTAACTGCTGACACTGTATTTTCAAGCCTCCATTGTGTACTTATGGCAATGCAGAAATGGCAACACCTCCAGTGAAGACTGGGTATAACATTTCCCTTACACGATTTACATCTTGCTTTGGTTGCTAATTTAGGTGATCCAGTATGCTGTGTTGTCTACATCCATGGCTCTATGAAGACAGCTTCTTAAAAGATGTTGAAATACTGGTATAGAATGCATTTATCAGCAGAGAAGGAAATACAAAGCAAATCAGCTTATATGTATTATGATATAGTTTCTCATGCTTATTTTATTTTCCCATAGAATTTATTCTTTATTTGTAATAACTGTTTCCCTTTCTTACATTCCAGCAATTTACTAAACATATTTCAAAGTTTTTAAACAGCAAATAAAGTCACACCCTGAATAGATAATGATGCCTTAAGAAAAAGTGACGATCTGTTTATAAGCTACTCTGGTAATATACTTTTTTTCTAACTGCATCCAATAGGTCTGCTTGAAAGGAAGATTCCTACTGCTACAGTAACTCCTCATCTCTTCACTTATGTCAAGCTATAATCCTTTAATTATCACAGAGGTGGTGAGTTGTTAGAATAAAAGAGTAGGACTTCAAATGAAGAAAAGGTAATGGAAACAGATCCAATCTTCTTGTTAATACAAGAATAATATGGTAAACGTAAAAACCAAAAGAAAAACCCACCAGAAAACCAAAGTCTGGTTTATTGACACTAATATTTTCTTTCTAGAAGGTTAAGGATTTTTCTAATAGATGTCAGAAAGCCTTTACTTACTTCCTCATAGTCCTCTTCCTCATCATCATCAGACACAACACTATCATTGAATGGCTCTTCTAGAAAGAAGCAAAACAAAATGGTGTCAGTTAAGTTGCACATGTACAACTTAACAGGATCTCATTATTACCTCAGTTTTACAAGAGCAAGATTTAACCTGCTTCTCATACAGACATATCCTTTTCAGGACAACTATTGGAATAATTTGATCCTATAAGCATTCTACTAGAAATCACTGAAATCAATTCATATTTTGGAAAATGGCAGAAATAGAAACACTCTGGAATAGTCACTTTCTCATAAAATCCACGGTGACATCTCACTGTATTTACTGACAAGAGTTGTACGAAAGTGTGTGCACTTGCAAGTTTGTCTAATTTTCAAATATTTTTTAATAAGAGACTTTACTTCTCCCTACAAACACTTTAATATTATACTGCTTTTGTACATAAAAAGCTAGTGCTCATGCAGAATACTTATTGTAAGTTTTGCACAAAATTATTTCCTCAGGAAGAAAGTGGCCAGGCTTATGCTGGAAATCTGAAAACACAACTTATACTCATCAATGACTCAGACAAAAGCTCTTAAAAATGCCATTTGCAGGTAAAAGAGGAGTGGTTCTATAACCCTGAAGAACAAATATTGTATAGTGGCAATACAGTGCTTAAATACTTTATTTGTTCTTTTACAAGCCAGAACTGTAAGACAGGCTGTGTTCTCTTTCCAAAAGCCAAACAGGGCAGTTTGACTTGTCCTATGTTTACTGTACAGAAAGATGCAACCAGAACTAATCTCCTTTTCATTATTTGCTTTCTCTTTCTTCAGTCTTCCTTTCAGTCACATGCAACAGAAAATGGAATAAATATTCCACCTTCTCAGTCTGTATTAACAGCATCTACAACTTGAATGACCCATCAACATCCTCTCCAAAAATGACGGTCTCTGCTCCCTATTCAGGAAAAGCTATTTCACATAAAGTTATATCTCAGTAGACCAATTGATGAGCAAAGACAAACCTAGTAACTAAATCCGATTTTACAAATTTCTATTGCATTTTTGCAATTAGTAGCAGTCTCTCATTACCATCAGACCACTGGCATGAAAGAAAACAGCCAAAGTAATTTTATTTATGATCCCAAAACTTTGGAATTGTGTCTTACTCAGCCTTTTATTTCTTCTTTATTGCTACAACATAAAGGAAATTTTAAAATACATTACTTTCAAATCCTGACATTCACTATTCTCCCTCTCTCAGACCACCACACTATTGTTATTCTTTGAGGTTTGCAATGCCAAGTAAAAACATGAACATTTTTTGTGGCTTTTGTGAAAGATTTAAAGCTCTGATAGCTGCATGTGTTCCGACCTGAATTGAGTTGCTTGATAACAAATTCCATCTGGTGAACCATCTCTTCATTTCTTTCCTTGATAAAGCAGCGCAGAATTTCTTCCATTCCCTGGATGTATCAGAAAACATGGATAGATCAGTATTTCATGTCACTACAGTGACAGAGATCTGTTAGCTAAAATACCTTTTTTTTTTTTTTTGGTCAGGAAAAACAGAGGCAGTGTGAAGCAAACCATGGTGTCCAGCTCCAAGTGTTGTACAGACAAAAGAAATACACTCTCTAGATTGTTTTGAGGCTTTAGTAGAGACATGTCCATGATGAACAGCAAATTTTTACAACAGATCCGTTGCTTTTGCCTTCTGAATTCAGTACACAATAGTCATCAGAAGAGGATAAAATTTGCACCCACAGAGACAACAGTGCAAGGTTCAGAGAAAGAAAGCAGAAAGCAGAGCCAGCTTTGACTTTAAACCTGTTCTCTCTCTTTATGGCTCTTTATAGCCTTGATGTTGTATCTTTAAGCATTTATGATTACGTTCAATCCTCTGTGCTCTGTGAGGTAGAATATCTGACAACAATTATGTCTCCATAACTCTCTGAATTAGTTCTTAAGATACAAAGACATGCTGCTATCCCAGGAGCAGCTTCCTCGAACACAAAAGTTGATACACAGTCATTACCATTAGACTAACTTTCACAGGAAATGAGTTCCTAGTTCTGAAACCTTCCTCCTGCTCCTTCCCCAAATAATCATGTCTATGCCAGGCAGAAGGAAAAGCAGCAAGAACTCCTTTTAGTGGCTACTCACTGGTGCAGAATTAGACTAAGGGGAAGAAGTAGCAGGTGAGATGAAAGCGTCTCCTGGGGCCACAAGGAGTCTACAAAATGCTAGAATGACACACATTTCTAAAATAACACCTTTAATTTATTATTCAGACAGAATCCTTCTAACTACTGGGGCTCCACTCCAGGGAAAAACACCTGGAAATATGGCAGAAGTGTTTGAGAAATACATTCATACTTCCCTGAGGAAGGGTCTCTTGTGGGTTCCCTTCTCAAAATGCCCTGGCTCCCACATCACAGCCTTGCTGTGCCGTGCTCAGCAAGTCCCTGTCTGGGCCATCTCTGGCAGAGGTGTTGATTTTCATGCTCTGCTAAGCAGCACTTCTTACCATTTCTTTGGCTTCTTCTCGAACAGAAGGGATGGCTAAAATACTGTACAGTACTCCATTCACATATGACTGGACCTAAGAGGAAGAAAATAGTAATACCATGAAGAAAACCTCTTACATTCCCCCCAGACGACTATCAAAATATAAGAGCAAAAGTATAAAATAACTATACTTCAAAGAGTTAACCAGACTAGACTGGATTTGCAAAAATTCCCACATGGGAAGCAGAGAATTTTTAGGATGCAAATATATTGTGATATGGTTGATCTAAACCAGTATGCTGCAGGCCAATTTCCCAAACAGCCCTCTCTGCTTCTGATAATGTATTCTTGTAAATTGACCTAGCCATATGAAAAAAAAAAAAAAAAAAAAAAAAAAAAAAAGGAAAAGAAAGAGAGAAAAGCAGAAAACCCATTAGTTTTTGACAAACACTAATAGCAGTACAAAAAACAGGCCAAAGAACACGGAAAAGCCCCTGCCAGCATGAACTCAAGACATGCTTCAAGCATTGTAGCCCCAGGCAGGATGATAAAGCCAAAGCAGCTTCATGAATGTCACAAGTCTACTACTTTCTTATAGCATTCCTTAAAACTACAGAAAATGTGCTCCCCAGTGCCTGGTATTTTGCATAATGGGTTTGCATCACACATTGTTAATCCCATGAATGAATCAAGCTTGAGGTGATTTGGTGCATGACATTTAAGCATTGGAAACTGCAATCAAGGCACATGGACAGCATGGTAACTGCATCCAAAAGCTGCCATTCTCAGCTGCTGATGTTTGTTAAAGCAAGACATGCTTCTGTCTAGAAAAATCTCTACTCAACAAAATAAAATTTACATATTTGTGAATTTTAGGAAAAATTCATGCAACTTAATTAACGAGGGTCTAATAAGGGAAACAAAATCATTTTACTTTTTACATTTTTTCCTTTCTTCTTTTTTTCAATTTTTCTTTCCACCTTTTCATTAACCCAAAGTTTGCTGTACAAATACCTTAGGATTCTCATGGTCAAGAAGACCAGAAAGAACTCTGAGCATGGGGTTTGGGATACTTGCACATATTTTCTTCCCTGCAAAGGTAGAACACATAAATATGCTTGAAAAATAGAACAGATCAGAGCAAGCTTCTTTCTTACTTTTTAGAATCAGTATTAAATATAGTTTGCACAGAGCAATACTCTATGGTCTTTTTAAGTCTCTTGGACACAGACAGGATCTTATTCTCTTGGGGGGAATCTCTGCTTTGTAGAAGTGAAGGCAAGATGAAGGTTAAGCTCCTCGCCTTTACTGCTCAACACAGTTCTTTCTGTTTACAAAATCTTACACAGAATCTGTAAGTGGACACAAAGTGTCCTTTGAAAAGTGGGCCTGGAATGTAGCAATGGCAGCCTTCACATACTAATATAAAAAATAATCAAATCTTATAGGGTGCTATTGCTTAATTCTTTAGAATTCCCATAACTGGAATTCTTGGGAAAAAAAAAAGTGCTCAAAAGCATTGGTTATAACACCCAAATATCTCTGGTTGTGGTTCCTGCTGCTGATGGTAGTCACTTGAAAGAATCCTGGTAAAACAGGAAAAAAAAAGATTCACAATCTTCTCTATTTCTTGGAATAAGGTTGTAATTCAAAATGTAAGATACCTGCACTCCGTAGACAGAGATTCATGAGCAAGGCAGCACAATACTCCAGGTTGTAATCAGACAGGCAATCTGGGTCTATTAGAACATCAACCAGCCAGAAAATGAGCCCATCTTTGATCATTGCTGACTGCAGTGTGCGCCTAGGATTAAAACAAAAAATCAGACCACAAATCATAAATGTCAGATCACAACATAAATGGATCTCATATACATTTATAGCCAGTACAAGCACATTAAAAATACACTAGCCTGCCAAAAAAAAAAAAAAATCCCTAAACTCCCTGTTTTGGCAGAATCACTAAACTAAGTAATTAACAAAGCCTGAAGAAATTGAAGATGCAGATTCCCATATGGTTAGAGGACTAAAACATTGTTGGATAGATCGGGGGCTTTTGTCTTTTGTTTTATTTTGTTCTTTTTAAACCTGTGAACTGCTGAGGTAAATTTCTTAATTGTTTTCTAAGGCTTCTTACTCCAGCTAAAATGGCATTTTCAATTGTCTTTTAAAATTAGTTTTAAAAGCCAGTACACACAACAGATCCATAAAACAAATTAATTACTTCTTCTGTCATAGGTAGCCATAGCACTGTAGTACTTTTGTACTGTTGATTTGACAAATGAGGTCTTTTGCCTGAATCTATTTGCACTTTTCTCTAGAGATTCTTAAATCCCATGCTCTTTTAACTCAACTTGTAGTTGCCCTCAAAGACTATGCTGAATAAAGTGCCAGCTGGCCAACCGTGATCTACAATAAAAATTCTACACTTTACAATACAAAAAATAAGTATATACTGGTAGAAAAATCTTACTGAAGAACAGAATTTTTCACAACATTATTTCCAAGAGGCATTATATTTAAATTGCAAAGATCAAATCAGGTGCTTTCCTGGCTTTGGTCCTGAAAGCTCATATGATTCTTAGTGCTGGATATTGCAGCAGGTCTATGGCCCGGAGTAAGCAAAACAAGGGAGCACCTGACCACATATTAAAAAAAGTTTCCCTTATGTCAAGTATCTGGAATTAACCTTCTATAAGATTGTTACTTTTTAGAAAATAAAAAACTTCCAAATTCTCAGTATTCCTCCTGACTGCTGTGAAAACAGTGTTCCTCAGATCATATTTATTTGATAAAGAGAGCATACCCTTTACTGCTTTTGCGTATTTCTTTTGTGGTGGGCACTTGAGTCAGGCTGCTAAAGCAAAAGTAAGAAACAAGGCAGCCTGTGCATAGACAGCTCCAGGAAAGGGGGTCAACAGGATAAAGATGAAATCCCTGAAAAATGTTTGCAGGAAGGATAATGAAAACCTTATGCTTTGGAATGTAACACAACTCTTTTTTTCCACATAGGATTGTCAGAGGTTTCTACATTAACATTTTCACTTTCTTCAGTTAAAGAACACATACAAAGCACACAAGGCTGTGGCAGGAGATGTACATTTACTTGAGCCTTGACAGCTGGTAGGAAGTCAGGTTAATTCAGTCAGCAAAACTGAGTTCTCCTCCATAATAAGCGACATTGCTTTCATCAGCCATCAGGGGTTCTGATGATTGTTATGGGAAAACCAAGTGCTCTTCTTTCCTCCCTGAACAGAGCCTGCATTTCCTCCCCTGCTGTCACCACCACACGCTGTGCTTTCATCACCTGAGGCTGAATTTCTGCAGAGCCCCCAGAACATTCTCCCATGTAAGGGAATCCTTGTCTTCAGCTTTCAGTCTGTCCTCCAGCATTTGCAGCAAGGTTGGGTTCTGAGAAAGGTAGGCACGACCTGGTGCAAAAAGCGATGAAAGAACAGATGCTGAGATAGCAGCTATGACAGAAAACCTCCCCCTCTTTGGAAAAGTAAGCAGGATTGACCTCAGTTTCCTCTTGACAAGCCACAAACTTGTGCCAAGATCCAAACAGACCTGCACAAAGTTGTGTAGCAGACCAGTTGCATTCAATCCAGACACTTTGGGTATTAGAGGTCCACTCTTGCCAAATCAGTAACATTGAGTAGATGCTTTCTGATCTATCAGTTTTGTACAACCAAGAAAAAGAACAGAAATGTCCAAGGAGCTTGAGAAAGTCAGGTGCCCTCCTGCTACTGACTTCAAATGATATTTCAGCGCAATACTTAGTTCCAAAAATAGCAGCAAACCAAGAGCTAATTTGGGACAGGCAGAGATGGAAAGCTGGATATATATTCTTCTGGATTATTAGCAGTGATGCACAAAGATTTATTCAGGTAAGGACCAGGAAAATGCAGAAGCCACAGTAGTTACTATTGCACAGCCTGGTAGCAGATCTGCCCACAGGAAACCTAACTAATGGGGATTTTTCTCTTTAACCCTCATGGAGAAACTATATTAAAGGCAATATCTAAGTAAGTTCCAACATAGATCACAAATGATTAAAACAAGTCAGAAATACTGAATATATAATGTCAAAATGAAAACTTTCCAGATACTGAAAAGCTGTTTTGAATGCATGTAACAAAAGGGAGTGAGTTCTAGATAAAGGGTGCAAATAAGGCTCCAAATTTCCACATGCACTGACATGCACTTGTGAAGCAGCAATAAGACAGCATCATATGAAAATGCTATCTTATTTTTTGCAGTGAATCTTTTACCTTCTATCAGTGAAGCAAAAGCATTGATGAGCCTTGCCATATACTGTCTGACTACCTCACTCTTAGAATATAATAATTGGAGGACACTTCTCTGAAAAAGAAAGCAGATGTTAATAAATCACAAAGAAGGAAAACACAAAAGTAAGTCTTCTATAGTGTTTTGAAAACTTCATTAAACTTATACAGGAAAAAAACCCAAACCCTTTGAAAGCATATTTGTCAGTATGATGTACAATTCATTTTTTTATTGGCAGGGGACTGAAGGAGAGATGGAAAATAAACAAACAGGCAAATTACAGCTTCTCATTTGAGTCTGTTAAAACACTCTATGGTGTAGAGTGGAACTTATATAGAGGCAACAAAGTCCAGTTAAAGCTGGTACCTAAAATTAATATGCAGTCACTTACACAAAAAAACCCACAAATCAAACAACTTAGTTTTGGTGATAAACTTAATTGCAGTAATATTACCTGAATAGGAATGCTTTTCTTTGACAATGAAAAATGTGGGAAGCAGCTCAGTAACTTACCAATTTACCACCACATTGCAGTGATTTCTAATCTGGTTTATTTCAGACTTTACATATAACTTCCCTCTTACAGAAATTTAGAGGGAGAAAAACTGATGGTTGATTTAATAATCCTTTATGTCTCCTAGTGGTACAAGTGACTGTTGCAAGGACAATGAAACCACAATAAACCAAGTAGGTTCATTGCCTTGAACCCCTGGGAAACTCAATTATGCACAGAAGTCACTACAACCAATGAAAAAAAGTTCTGCTTTTCTTAGCAACAGTACTGGATTATCAGAGACTGAAACAACTTTTCAAAATAAACACACCAGCAATTCCCCTTTCTAAAGGAAGTTGGCAATCCACCTCAAATTCACAGAAACACAGTTGATCATTGCAGGTGCACAATGACACATTCCATAGTGGCATTGGGACCGAAGTCCTAATTTAGTTCTTATCTTAAATCACTGAAATGAATTGAGTGTATTATTTAACAATATACAATCACTCAAAAAGAGACACAGGATCTGATAACCAAGACTTAAAGGGCCTTAGGCTTCAGTTCAACTCACAGAAGTGAAGCACAGGGAGGTGATAAACTTCCATTTGTCTACAAGAACTGTGTCTACACTAAGAGCTCTTGTAATGCAAACTTTTGCCATCAACATTTAAAGACTGGGATGCAGAACCTAAATGTATCACCCAATTTTGGCACTACTACCTTTTTTTTCTTCTCCTCTTCCAGAGAGCAATAAAATTTTACGATCAGCACTTCATAGACATAAATAAGCAGTATCACACAGAAGTTGGACAACTGACAACTCAGTTCAGCTGACCTGACAGTTGCTGTGGCAATCTAGGAGGTCATTACTGATGTAGGCTTGCATGATAGTGTCTCTCTGTTCTCCAGGATATGATGTTGTCAAGCGCTAAAATAAATAACAACATAAATAAGCAAGTAAAAAAAAAAAAAACCACAAAAAGCCAAAACTATGGATTGATGACCCCTGGAGATTTTAAAGGTGCTAATACTCTATAGCTGAGAACCTCTTTCATGGGGAGCAGTAATTCAGCCTCAGTGGCCTCAGGGAAAGAGATGAAATGAACTGACCTGTCCTCAGCTCTCTGATTCATTGCAAAACTGTTACTTGGGAACTGTCATCACTGTCCATACAGGAAGGATACAGAATTACTTCCCATAAAGTTAAAAAATCCCTTCTAATAGTTACAGATGTGGTGCTTTTCTTAAACATCTGAGACAGAGCATTGGGCTAGAAGTACTTTTGGTCAGAACAAACAGAAAACCAGATAGTTTTTAATGTGAAAATGGACACTGAAACTTGATCAGAATTCCACTATTATCTTTCATGACTGTCAGTTTGAACACACCAGCTTCCTTTTCAGCAGGAAAATGTAACTTCCTGTTGTCACCTGTAATTTTTCTGAAATGTCATGACATGACCCAAGTCAACCAAAAGGTGGGCTCCTGTAAATACCTTGATTATAAAGGAAAACTGGTGATTAGAGTCTGGTATGTCTTGGATGCAGCAGTATTTATATAAATATAAACCAGAAAGAGATGTGGAAAAAGGAACTGCCTAAAAAAACAATTTATTTGAAAGCACATCAGAAATTATTCCCACTGAATATCCCAGAAATCTGGAAATTCTTCATGTGAGGAATCTGTCTCTCCTCAGATGAGGACACTGCTACACTACAAATAGACACCTCCTGCCTGGGCTGCCTTCATCAACTCAACAGCCTTAGCAAGCTTGACCAACAGGAATTTGCCTGTCATGTTGAACTCATCACCAGAACAACCATGTTGTTTGCTAAATGGATTCAGTTGTGGATGCCCCCCTGTCCTTACCCAGCGCAGAGCCTGCAGCAAGAGGGCCTTGAGACGATCACTCCCTGTAATCAAATCTTTCTTCAGCTTCTCATAATCCAGAGAGGGCAGCAATGGCACATCCTGCATCTTCCTAAATGCAAAAGGAAAAGACATTAATCAAAACTCTCTCTCCTCGTTCAGTGCAGTTGATGTTACTGAGGTGAGAAGAGCCAAAACAGGAAGTCTGCTTCAGGAAGAGAACTTCCACATTTTCACACTTTTATTACCATTATATTGTTAGAACAACAGGCTTGTTAAATTTGGGGTTATTTCTTACTTATGCATGCAGCTCATTTACCATCATGACTTGCAGACAGTAAACTGACAACAAGACAGCTGATGATCTGAGATTTTTACTGGCACAAAACAGTACAGTAACAACCTTTTTTCCCCCCTTCTCTACTGGACCACAAGGGCTTGAGGGCAGCAGTGGCTCTTGACACAGCTAGAAACAGATGCAGCAAAAAGCTGCAGCTCCAACTCCACCTCTGAGCCCTCATGCACACAGAAATGTCTTCTCCAAGGCAAAGGTGGTGTGGGCTGAGTGGATTTTTACAGCCTGGAATATGCTGGCTTAACATGAGACTTAATACAGGACCACTTTCTGTGCATCAGTACTATCTTGCTATTTTAATATTTAACACTGAAATAGAAGTTTCCATTAAGAAAACTGCTTCCAGTCAATGTTTCATTCTTAATATTTAAATATAATCCACTAAAATGTTTTCATATCGTCCCATCCTACCACTTTTCAAAACAAATTTTATGTCCTAGGTATAACTGCCCCATTATCTTGCAAACAACAGGATAAAAGGTGCCTCAAAAATTTAATAAAACTTCACCTTGAAAATACCATCTCTATTCAATATTTTAAGCCAAAATTTATTAAGTCAGACATAAAAAAAGATTAGTTAAGGCACAAAAAAATCCACATTAGTGATTCCCCATTTTCCTGGATTTGTGAGAATCAAACCAATTACAACAATAGGACTAAAATATGTGGCTACACTAAAAATACAGCAACAACCTCACATTTGTGGAATGGCAGAATTACTGAATGGATTAACAACATTCTGCTGAAATTAGAACATTACTGAAGCTGCTCAGAAGAAGAATACAGATCACACAATATTTCCATCAATGTTCACTGAGGTCAGAGGAAGCACAGAGGAGGAGTGAGTCCCATTTGCAGACAACAGGCAGTGTGTACTTCAGTTTACAAACCCCTCCTCTTCTCTACAGACAGAAATTAAGCTCAGCAACAAATACTTACATAGAGGATAAAGATGCTCTTAACAGTGTGGAAGCCTGAATCACAAAAAGAAAGAAAAAAGGAAATTACAGCATATAACTCCAAATTTCACATAATGTTATTAATGAGGTCCAAAGTGAATTCTTTCATTAAGATTCTGCATTCTTTTCCTATAAAAACCTGTGCTGTAAACCAGAAACACAGCTAAAGAAAGAGCATTTCAGTGTTTATTTTTCTTTTCCCTTAAAGTGTTTTTCAGGTCAAAATCTCTTTTGTTATGATCTGGCCATTTTATCCTCACCCACATACTCCACAAATTACTTATGCTTGAAGTATTAAAAAAAAGAAAATTACTAGAAAGTACTATCTGAGCCTGCTGAGGAAGGTGAAGAATTTGCTAAGCATGTTCACTGACTTTATAAATTTTTGTACCTTTAAAATTGCAATAATATTTCATTGGAGATCTAGCATGCATTCCTGCATATAAATTTATTGTAATTCTTTGCTCCAACACTAATGTTATCAGGTTTTGCTGCTATCAAAATATACCCCTATATATAATAATTAATATGTAAAGACAAGATTATGTATTTTGCTATTTATAAAACTAATATGAAGTAGTGTGCCATTTCTTAGTGGTTCTGCCTAGGATATTCTAATTAAATCCTGGATATTTCTTCTCTGATGCAGGGTGACACAGTGCCTATGCAGGCACCGCTGTGCAACAAGGAACACCAACACCATATAAAAGTTCCACATGGAAGTTGTCTGCCTCAGTAAATATTTTTTGCTAGACTTAATTGTAGGTAAGCAAAGAAGCAGCAGTTCTGGCATAACAATGCTTCATGTCATGCATTCTGATGTCAACTACATGCTATATTTGCAGAATATTCAATGTCATCTCTTTGTACTGATCTCTCTGCTAAACATCTCTCATTACCACTTATGCCTGTAAAACTGGTCTTCTCTCTTAACTGAGCCTCTTTCAATGGGAACTATATAACCAACATCTATTGTCAGAATTAAAACTGGGATTTAGGAGACAAAAAGAATGAAATACCATAGAGAATATTGAATTACACCAACTGGTATATTCTTGAAAACAACCTCGTGGGTATCCTTGTAATACAAGGAACTGCTCTATTAGATGTGAAATGAGCTTATATGGACTTTGGAAAGCATTTTATATTATGTGAATGAATAACTTATATACAATAAGCAGGTCATACACCTCAAAAGTAAACTGTCTGGACCAGCAGTTCTCACATCATAGTTTATCTTACACAATACAAAATTCTTTCTAAGTATCATATCTGCCCCTAGACTGTTTTGCCCTTGTTCATTTTCCTTAGCATTTTCGAGAAGTATAAAGAGTTTTGTTTAAACAAAACTGTTTTCCCAGTCAAAACCTAAAACCTTGTAGCTGCAATGAAATCACAAATCACTTCTGTTTCCTCTGTCAGCACCTTTCTTCTTTGTCCATTAGGGGAAATGGAAGAAAGTGACTAAGCACTCGAATACAAAAAAAAAAATATTACAGAGCCCTTGAGAGGGAAGGTGAAACAGAGAATAGTAGTGCCTAAAGAAACAGAGCAGGGCACTAGGGCTATACAGATGCATATAAAGATTCTCTGCTTCTCAATAAAGGTTTTTTTACCCATCTCTTTGCTGTCTTAGAATGAAAAATGTGCTCCAACCAAAATCTAACTAGAGGATGACTGGTTAAGATACACGTATCACTCTTCTACACAAATAAAACATTTTGGCAAGTGTAGGATTTTGCAAGTTTTTATAAAATTTCAAACTACAGAAACTTCAACTGGAAAAACATTCAGATTAAATGGGACAAGATCCTATTAATTTCCAAACTACTTTTTTTAAGCCAGCAGATGGAGCACAGCAAGGTATTTAGTATGGTTTCCTTCTGTACTCTTCCTACACCAAAAAGGCACCAGAGAGTGAGGCAGACCCTGCACTGGGGCTCTGAGGTCAGAACCACTGAGCTGGAAAAACTTCTGGTCATTTTGCTGATCAGACTAGAACCTGCACAGGAGGAAGTAAGTTCTGTCAGGCTTTTGGTGTTTCTGGGAAAGCAGTAAGAATAAAGTTCATATTACATCAGGTTCAATCATCAAGGCTAAACAGGAATGGAGAAAGATGTAGGGGGCTTGTTTATTCTTCACTGCACCGTCATTTCTCAATCTGACTACAGTCAGCACCACTGATGAGCAGAAAGAATGCAAGCATGTTACAGGCAGAGATTTTCCTTCTTCCTTTTCATCTGCATCATTGCAAGTAGTCATAAGTAAGCTAATCTGTATCTGTGGCACGCTGAGTAAAGCATTGGCTCAGCAGATATACTTCTAGTCCTGATTCAGCCACCAACTGCAGACAGAATCCAAACACATCATTTAACATCTCTGGACCTCAGTTTTTCTCATCTGAAAAGTAGATACAGGCATCAATCTCTTCAACAAGCTGGGTTTAAGATCTACCAATGAATGGCAGAGTGCAAGAGCTAAAAATTATTATTTTGCTATTAAACAATTGAATACTTATAGCACAATCACCATAAACAGAAATTATTTAGTAGCTCCTCTTCTCATTTTTCTTAGATTACCAGATTTATTTCCTCAGCATTTTCTCCCTAGCCCTTCCCTCAGTCTTTCCTGGAACAGTTAACCATAATTTTAACCTTTTGAGTGACAGTATATACCTTAGATTGCCAACAAAAAGCAGAGTGTGAGGAACCTGTAGTGAACATGTTCCTATGTTCCAATATGCATAGACTTCATCTTGAAAAACATACATTTCATGCAAAACCTATCTTGAGAGAGATCATTTGTCATAACTGAAAGACAAGCAGAAGCTCAGTGTCTTAAGGAAAGAAACACAAGAAGAAACAGCCCAAGATAGCTCATTCTGGTAGGATTATGAGTATGACTTATGTTTGTGTTGGTTCTTGCCAAAGCCAAACCAGGTGCCACATTAAGTCAAATAATTCTGTCACGATGCACATTAGCTACAGATGGCATCCCTTTATTTTTGAACAAAGACAGGCATGAATATGAACAGCATGGAATAAACCAAAGTTCAAAGGGGAAAAGAAATCAGTATTTATAAAAGAAAGCAGATGCACTTCATGTGCAAGCCAAAACCACAACTGATTTTATCAAATACTGCAGGCCTATATTCAAGCCATATCCCCTTTGCTATTTGATGTATATATTCATAATATGCCGAAGGCAAAGCTGAAAACCAGACTCTGTCCTCAGTTCCCACTCTGAAAATGTGCTGTAAGAATTCAGTGCAAATTCAATGCAGATTCAGAATTAATAATCAAATATATGTGATGAATATGTGAAGAGTAAAACCAAAATTTGAGCAGATTTCTACAAATCATTAGAACTCACAAATCTATGCTGAGTTCATTTGTTACACACTAATAACAAGGAGACTGCTCCATGCAGGCTGTGAGGGATTAGACCCTGAGCTTGTGTAACCTGGCAGGTCTACTGGGGCTATGCAAAGTATTATTTCAGAAGATCTGCAATTGTTTTTAATTTTTTTTCCTACTTATACTAGAGAGATGCTGTTATGAAAACTTCCCACTTGCCATATAACACAGGTTCTCTAAGTCATCTGATGTGTACATTAAAAAGTTACACAGTAATACTGTGTGATAATGTAATGACAACACACATGTCAGAAAGAAGTATAAAATACTACACATAAACAGTGAAGGGAGCTGAAAGCTACCCATATATTCAAGAAATACCTCAGAATCAGAGTCAGACTGCTTTACAAAAGCTTTATAAACAACTCTGCACAGTAAGCTACTACATTCGACATTGTATCAAGTTACATTTAACTAATGCTTTATACTAACCTGTATAAGGAAAAAGTTTTTCTTCAGTAAAAATAATTTGATTCCTAATTGCTCATCTGTCATCGACCTTTCTCAATCTCAAACCAGAGCATTATATGAAGGAACAAAATGCTTAACATCAAGCAGAAAGTGTCCATTAAGAACATTCATGTCACCAAGGGGAACAGGTTGATTGATACAGATGATCTTTTACAATAGGTGGATGTGGGTAGTGTTCTCTACATCAAGATAAAAAGAGGTATGTAATGAATAGTCCATTGCATTCAATATTTCTATGACTATTTCTCAAAATAAAATGGAAGTGGAAAAGTGGAAAGTTGAATGCCCACAAGGGTTTACTTTAATACCAGGTGATATATATGTTTGAAATGTAGGCAGCTTTTATTGAAAGATATAATCTTGTTTCACCTAAAGAAAGTGATAAAAATATAAATACACATTATTTTAAATAAAATTTTAAAGAAAGCGATACAATTATGAATATGTATTATTTTAAATCGACTGGCATCTTTCAGAATTGGCGCCAATCGTTTTTATGAATTGATTACATACTGAGTTACTTAGAAATAGACTCATTTCCTTTCTTCACAAAGAATGCACTGACTATGGGCAAAATTAGATACTTATGGTGTGCTTGTAGTATTGCCAGAATACAAACTTCCATCTGGGTTACAGAAGTCACAGGCAGTACAGAGAATATAGTTTTGTGTTTTCAGTGAAAGAGGATCATTTTAACTGTGTGAAAGAATTTCATAATCTTTACTACTTTACTGTTTTAGGAACAAAAAATACAAATATGTAGAATACAACACCCCTCTGAAGAGCATGAATCAACTTGCTGAATTATCTTGAGCAATAATATTTATTTGCTTTGTCAAAGGTGTTGTGGGGTCAGCTGGTTTTGGCTCACTTCAGAGAGAACATATACTATACACAGATGATCCCATGCAAGAAACAGTTGCTTTCTGCATGCTATAAGAAGCTGTGCTTCATGTGAAAGTTGTGGACAAAGCTGCTCTTATGTTGACATGCTGTGTTATGTGCATTATGAAGCCATAAGGTTACCCAGAACATTTATTCCATTCCCATGCAAAAGTTCCAAGCCCTGTACATTTTCTCGCTCTTCATAAACCACAGTTAATGTAATGACAAGCTAAAATGCAGGGAAAATTGCTGCACATTGTGAAATAAAGAGAAATACAGACTGTGGCAGACTGAGCAGGCAGTGTGAAAGGAAATAAAGATAGACACTTACATATCCGTCATCACAAGGGCTCATAGAGTAATATCCCTTTATAGGCAAACAGACACACATTAAAATAAAGATTAAAAAAAATAAGTTAACAGAAATAAATCACAGAGAAATGCACAGTTCTAAAAAACAACTGATAGAAATTAACTAAAAATTAACAGACTATTAGCTTTGAAAAGGAAAGTATAAACATGTTCTCCCAATCCTCATACTTTTATGTCTTAGAACTGAAATTACTGTGTCTCTCCTGTGATATATTTGGAAGTTCTCCTCTCAACACCTGGCAAACACACCTAGTCTGCACATTGTTCCACATTGTCAGAATCAGAACAGCTACACACAAAGCACTGACAAATTGACAGGAATATATGACCTGTGCTGCTCAGTCCACTGAGGCAGCCAAGAGAGATACCCTGAACATGGCCTGGATCAGAAGACCTCAGCTTCTGAGAAAGAACCTGCCACTATTCTCCACACTTGCTTTGACTGGAATTTCTTACCAGCAGATAAAGAATGAGAGACACAATTTAAGGTGTTTCAGCAGTGTTATCAATTCTTCATCCCAAAAGGTTCCAGGGATAAACTCAGAAAGTTTCTGGAGGGAAACCTAGAATGTAGTTACTAAAATAAAGAATGGTGCTAATTCATGGTTTGAGCAGTTTAGTACAAAATATGCTATGCTCTCCTTAATTAGACTAAAATACTTAGAACAGCTTTGTATCTAAAAAGAACAGTCTTAATTAAAAATAAAAGTACACAGTTGAACACAACGAAATATTAATTATTTGCTTCCAATTTTTTTGTGCAAACCTGCCAGTACTTACTTTAGAGGACATATTTGTACACATGAATAAGCATATAAACACCCTATTTAGCAAGCTGCTCTTTAACAGACATATATGGCCTTACACAGAAGACATAAGAAATTTGCTACTCCTCTCTGTGAGCACAAAATAAAGTTCTTTTTATTCTTTAACCAATTTTAAAAATCTGACATTCATCTTTTTATTACCATGATACTTAGAATTCCCTGATGTGAATGATTACTTTAACTTCCATGGTGCTGTACACACATACAGACAGTTCCTGGCAAAGACAATTTAAAATTAAATTTAAGACAAAGGATGACATCGATAGAGACCAATAAGTGAGCAAAAGAAACCAGGAGATAAACTGCATCATGATGAGAAACAATTCAACACAAGCACAACGTAAGCCAGTGGAAATGGATGTAGGCATCAAGACAAAAGATGACAATAAAGGAAAGTTTTAACATTAAAGAAAATCACAAAAGGTTGGACCAGACAATCTTTTGAAGTCCCTTCCATAGTTTGGACCAAACAACCTTTTGAAGTCCCTTCTATGATTTAAGGACAATAACAGGAGAAGTTTGTGGAAGCCCCTACTGAAGGCAATACCTTACCCTTAAAGAGTTCATGTAAACAAAAAACCTTGCAGCAACTTGTGAAAAGGGCATTTTACACTGTATCAGCAGAAAAAAAATAACTTCTCCTTGCTTACCTGAAGAGGCAGGCTTGTTTCTTATTTTCCATACATAAATGGGAACATATAAAAATAATCCCATGGACAGAGATGCAGAAAAATGATTGTGCCATCCAAAGAAAAGCTCACTTAGGGTAGATGCTGTTTGCTGCAATGTGCACTTTATTTTTAAATGTAAGAGTAAACATCTGCATAATAATGCCTGGTGAATCCACTCTGAATGGTTTAGAGAGTTATTAAAAAGAACAGAATAAAAACCTTCTGTTACCCTTATCCTAGGTTTCATGTGGTCTGCTGGTGCAGAAATTTCATAAGTAAGAAATGGAATACTTGCCACCAATTATTACAGCTTGATGGCAAGTGCACAGTTGCAGTAAAAACCATGTTTGAGGAAAAAAGCAAAGAGTACAAGAAAAATAGGAGCCCATAGTAGTCATTACAACTATACCAAAAATAATTCTTCCTTGTTCACAATTTGTAAGTGGCAATTTAACTTTCCAGAGGAGCTGGTAATTTTGTCCAGTGACAGAACTTAAAAAAACCCACCCCACTACTTTTCCACAGCTTCAAGAGTAGGTAAAAGAGACCCAAAACTAGCAAGGGACATTAATTCACCTAATTGTAGCTACAGGTAAATATAATCAGAATGAATAGCAGCAAAAACATAATGGGTATTTATTCTATTCCATGACACAGGTGCAATACATGCAAACAACTCTACAGCTTTCAGGTCACAGAAAGATTCTCCAGTGGTTAACACCCATCTCTACCATTGACAGAAAGTGCACATCTGAAGAAACAGTTCTTGTTTTGCCTGCAATCCAAAACTTAAGAAAACCTTATTGCTTTATACCTAATCCAAAATATTCCAGGAGGGTGTACACCTCACTTCAATCCAAAAAACCTGTTTGTGAATTTCAGAATTGAGCCTGTGCTACGTTTGGTGGAGTGTGAAGGTACTGTGTTTGTGATAAAAAGGCAGAATCCTCTTGTCTTCATGATATGTATTGAACAGAAAACTGCAGGCATCAAAAACTACAATCCCTGCTTCTTATCCATCAGACAAATCAAGACTAGAAAAGGTAAATGGTAAAAAAAATTAAAACATTACTTATCTCAAGAGGGTAAAAAATATAATGGACTGTGATAGTCCTGTAATAGATTACTGGACTTGAAAGTACACTTTTCAAATTTACCATTACCCACATCAGTTCCCTATCCAAAGGAACACTAAGAAGTCAGGAATCTATTAATTCCTCAAATAAATGTTTCTTCAGCTTGTCAGACCTGCTTCTCTGATCTTCTATTCTTAAACCTACATCTTCTGCTCTGACAATTCTCTCTGGTTTCTTATCTCCCAATTCAGGACCACACATGTCAAATAACATGATGGAAGGTGGAGATAACATTCAACTGCAGCTGAGAGAAAAACCTTAGGGTGAAACTGGGCTTTAGAGGCCTTGGAAAGGTCTCCCAGCTGTAACAGCAGTGTGACCTCTCTCCCACTGCACGCAGCAGATGCATCCTGTTAATGGATTGTAGATCAGGCTCACAAGCTGACCCAGGAAGTCACAGAGCTGGCAAGAGACATGGAGTTGTTCTGCAAAAGAATGAGATCCAATCCAGCTCACCAGAGAACACAAAGCTGACACTAGAAGCCTTTGCTAAGAAAGATTTCAGGGTAGATTACAACAGAAAACTCTTTTGGCTGTCATTGCCTCAGGTCAGTAAGACTTGCCTCTGGGATTTGTTCTCCAGAAACAAATTTCTTCCAGTTTGAAAGGACAGGCCTTCAGCCATGGTGGGGGGCAAGCCAGGAAGCTGATATTTGCACATTAGCAACTGATACAGGTCACCTTTATTGTAATTTCAAAGACCTCACAGCTTTCTACTACACAATATAACTTTTCCCAGCATTAAAAGTTGTTACTAAATAATGTTACTAAAGATAGAATCCAAGGTATATTCCTTAATTTCCTTGGACAATACTTCATTTTGGTTACAGTACTCATATAATCCTCCTTCCCAGTGTAACTAAAAACTACCAGTGTAGCTGATTTAACAAAATATACTCTAAAGCTCAAGTACAGATCTCAGAGAATGATGCAGATTTAGCATTTTCTGCTCTCAGAACCTGACCCAAAACCTGGACTGTCCCCTGAGTTGCATGATGGCTGTACAACAAATGGCTGTCAAGCACCTCCTCTTTCCAAACTATGTAATGCATGTCCACTCATACCCTAAATAACACTGGTGGAAATTTAAGGCTTCATGACAGTAGAAAAAAAAAAAAGTAATTTCCTTGCTAATGAGTCTTTTTCTGCTAATTTATTTAGAGATATTGATCCAGCAGAACCAATTTATTTCAGGGCCTTGTCCTGACATCAGAGATGTCAGTGAGATAGGATCATCCTTAACAGTCAAGGTGAAGTGGGGGAAAAAAAAAAACCCTAACTGACAAACCACCATATTTAATGCCCGATAAAACTCTTTAGACAATGACTGTTTTTTTAAGGCTCTCACTTATCTTGCCTACAGATGAGGTAAAATGATGGTAAGGATGAAAAAAGTAGCTGCCCCTCTGCTAGTCTCTTCTCTCTCTAGTTATGCAGCTGGCTGCCCCTTACAGCAGGAGGTTTGTGAAATGGAGTAGCTGGAAAGACCACACTCTAGTGCCTCTAAGTAGTTATGAGCAAAAAGTGAATGAATCTTCCAACAGAAATCCAGCACAGATGCTGTGAACTCGTGCTACTACTTAGTCTGGGTCACGGTGCCTCCAGCTTTATTCCAAAACTTATACAAAAACCTGAAACCACTTAAGTGTAGAACAATAACATCTGAGTGTATAACAATGAAGTATTTGAATCCTTGAAGAAAAAGTAATAGCATGCCTGAGTGGCCTAGTGGCAAATAGTCAGAATTTTAGTTCATCTCATCTGGCTTCCTGCATCAACAAAGCCAGGGAGTGGTTAGAAATACTCTGGGATGAGAAAGGAATCTTATTTTTGTTTTCATAAGACAATATCTATTTTTTCTTCTAACATTTATTTGTGTTTCTACATGTTTGCTATTCATGTATAAAACAGAACTCTTTACATGGGAAATAAACAAGAAAATATGATCAAGAGGGGACAAAAGGATAAGATGAGGGAACCTGATTATGATGCAGTTAATGTCTATATGCAAAGACTGTGATTAGCCTTCCAAAACTTGGCTAACGCCTCAGAGAGCCTGTGTGGATCTGCTTATAGAAACAACATAAGAGTTCAACCACAGTAGCTGCTAGAACCTCAATGACAAGGTGTGACCTAAACCAGTCTAGAAACCCTTAATCTACACAGTCTCAAGGCTATAACTGGACTGGTCTTCACTAGAGAGTTTGGCTGTCACAGCAACTACCTCAAATAGTGTGGATAAATGAGCCACAAAGTCACACAGAAATAGTTCTGCTAGCAAAGCCTAGTATAAAAATAGATACAACTGTGCCAGGAGAACACTGCTTTGCTCAGGTTAACCTAGTTAAAGGAGACAAAAATTTACTTCCAGCAGGGAAAAAAATCCACCAACAACATATCCTCTTTCTCTAACCTATTTGCATAGCTGGAGACTCTGTCAAAGTGGCCACAGCGCCATAAGTATAGAGGCAAAGGCACTTTTGGAGCAGAAATGCTTTAGTGACACTTTTAGGGAAGCAGAAATCAGAACCTTGAATAAGGATGACACTCTTCCTTCTGCCCCCTTCCTAAAAGGGTTCAAGAGACTGGAGGATCCACATATGATAAGAATAGAAATAATAAGCAAAACCCTGGTCAAATGGAGCACCTTGAAAGCACAGAACAAAAAGAGAAGTCTTGATGCAAGCAGAGAGCAGGAACAGAGAGAAGAGGACACACAGCTGTACAGAAGGGTGATCTCAGTACAGGGAAGGAGAAACACACACAACCTCAACATCAGATGGCAAAAATACAGAAGACTACTGAGGTACCTAAAGCAATATCTGAAAAAGCCACTGGCAAGGAAAGAGTAAAGGCCTCTGCAAGCTGTTGGTTAGAAGAAAGATGGGGTGAAAGGAGGGACATTATGGGAAGGGAGATGAGATAAGCTATGGATATGATATAAATCTGAGGAGAGGGGAGCAGCAGATAGCACCTAATATTGAGGTAACAGATGGAACAGATGCTGGTTCCTTCCTGAAACCCTGAAATAGCAGCTTTTGCAGGCTGCTAAGATTGCACCTCCTAAACTCATGGCAGGTCAGAGAAAGGAGTTCTAACCATTAACAAGAAAGTGAGGGCATTTAAAACAGCCTGAAGAGCAATGAGGAATAATACTTATCTCTGAAAATATTAGCACGTAGAAAAGGAAAGGAAGAATTTCTATTATCTCCTGATCTTTCTGTAGCAAATTTTCAAGAAGAACAGAATGTACCCTTAGCACCACTTTTATTAAAAACCTTGGCTAGAATGAGAAGCAGGAATTTTATTTTCTTCTGCTTTTCCTTTGACACTTCACTAAGTTCTCCTGCTACTAAGTTAAGTACACATGAATGCCTGCCATGGCAAAAACAACAAGCACAGTTCATGATTTTGGCTTGTCTTTTAGAACAATTGTACACAATACTTTCTTAGTAAAACATTTTGATGCACTTTTATGATTAATGTTTATTTAAAGCATTTTGTTAGCATTTTAACAGACACAAATTTTACTGTCCTCACAATAACAGAATTAACCATACTTACAGAGCTATAACTACACAACCAGGTCATTGACCAGCATCTGAGATCAACTAAACAATGTATTGCCATATTCTTATACAAGCTTGAAAACATTATGTTTTGTCTTTCCCATTATAGAGCATTTGTTGTTCTATATGTAGCTTAAGTAGTATTGTCTTTTAAGACAGTTACTGTAAAAATCCCAAACATTTATACTTACAGTTCCAGGCCTTGTGAAGTCAATGTTGTGTGCTACAGTTTGTTTCAAATGATTGCTAAACAAGCAAGCACAAACATTTTGAATATACTCTGGTGTAATCTAAAAATTGGGAAACAAAATGAGAACAGGATTACATAAAACTTACACTTTCTACCAGACAAGTGTTTCTATATTAAGGGCTGTTTGCTTGTTTTTTTTAAAGTGCAAGAAATCACACACCTGAGGCTCACTGCACAGGCATAAAGTATATACTGCAACTACCATTCTGTACAGACATTTTAAAAACTGTAAATTCTCTATCTGGGAATTGTTATGCTATTCACAAGACTAGTGCTAAACACTTTCAGAAAGTCTAGAAGAAAACCAGATTTTGTCACACCTCTATTTGCATACAAATTTTTGTGAATCAAGAGGTTCAAAATCAAATCAAATTAAAAAATGAAGCAGTTTTGAGCTTGAAACAATGCTGATGTGTTGTTTGCATTCAGAGCAGAACTGACACAACTATCTTGTACAGCAGAGAGAATAAATATGAATTAAACAGTACAGCACTTTGTTTTTCAATGCAAAACACCTCAGTGGGTTTAGTTTTTGTTTTGGGAAATCTACACCTCAACAGAACATCTTAATTTCAGGAGAGTTAGTATCTTCCCCAGAAAAGAGGACTGAGGTTATAGAAATGCAACTGGGGACCCTTCTGATATTCCCAGACCTTCAGCAGGACAACGAACCCCTTGAAATTCAGAACGCTGTAACTTCATTATCACTTTATTTAGTACCCAACTCCACTTTGGATTCAGGGATGACAGAATCCAGGATCCCTAACGGAAGAGCACCCTCAGCTGGACACACTTGGGAAGCACCAACCGAGTGCCTCGCACAAGGCTCACAAAGGAAACTGAACATCGGCAACAGAAGAGAACCAGCGGCCGGTTCCGACCACAGGCGGTCATTGGATATCGCCTGGAGAGCACGGAGGTGTGAAATGGAGGCAGCAAATGAATGACCGTGACTTTATAGTCAAGAAGATACCTTCCCTAATCTCCTGTAAAACATAATCCACCCAAAGGCAAATTCGTCCCCGCACTAATAGCAGAAGTGATCCCAGAGCAGAGTAACAAACCATACAGTGTTCATGCTGATGACAGGAAGAAGGTACATATTGACTTTTCAGCAGGCAGCACAAGAAATACCAGGTCATTCTCCCTGCTAACAATTCACAGTTCCTTCAAAAGCACCTAGAGGCCACTAACATCTGCCATAAGAACAGCCTCCAGGTTACACAGAATTTAAGCTCCCAGAGGAGCACAACACATGAAAAAGACAATCAACTTCATACAAAAAATACTCCTAAAAAAGTTGTACCTTCTTCACTTACATACATGTGGCCCATCTCACATGATGAAGAACTCATTCACTCCTATCTCTTTGTTCCCTTTATCTATTAAATTAACAAGTCCAGTTTAGCAGAACAGAGAGCAAAGCTTTTCCTCACCAAAATTTTGGGTAAGAAGACTTTCCACTACTGTGGAATTAAAATAGACCTGATGGAAGTTTCAAATACACAACAATTGTTGATTGGCTTAACTGCAATCAGTAAGCACCAAAATGCCCTCTAATAACTGCTGCTGCCAAAGCTCAAAAGGGGACTTCCACAAGAGATCTGAGAGGTCTTGTGAGATAGTGATAATTTTTTCAAGATTTCTGAGCCAGCACAATTCAACTCACTTTTTGTGCTGTGTTTCATTAGCAGAGCCACAGCTCTAACAGAAACGTTCATAACTATGAAGCGTAATTCACCCTTTGGTCTACATTTTCTGGGGGGTGTGGAAGCAAGTGCACATCTGGGTCATCTCTTACCATCTTGCCAGTGACTGTGGCCTCCAAAGAATCCACCAGCTCTGCAGTGACTTCAAGGAGACCACGGTAGTCCATCTGCAACTTGTGCAATCGTTTCAGGTTGGTCATGTACCTCTGCTCACGCTTCACTAACTGCTGATGAAGATGTTGCATCATTTCTTTCAAGAGAATAATAAAAAAAGAAATAGCATCACCTATTCAAACAAAAGGACAAAAGAACCCACAAGCTTTTCTACTGCTCTGAACAGATAACCTCAATTTCTGAGGTGGGAATTTGCCTAAAAGGATATTTTCATGCCTCTAGCAAGATTCCATTTCATTGCAACACCTATGAGTATTTATTAAGCCTTAATTGTCCAAAGAACCAACTGCTTCACAGTTACAGTAGCAACACAACTATAAGGCAGTAAACATCACTGAAAACACTTGTGAAGAGGATGATCCGTTACTTAGTGGTTAATGGTAAACTCTATGGCTTACTTTTAATATCCTAAGTTTCTGAAAATAACTCAAATTTGTCTTTCATTTCTATCAGAATAATAAAAAAGTTACATTTCTGATACATTTTGCTCCTTCAAGTTCAATTACTTTTGAGACAAAAGCAAACTGAGTAACAGAATCTGTGTACTCCACCCCAGTCTCAGACCCAGCCAAGTCAGCGATCAGCAAGGAACTGGACACTGAACCTGGAGCTGTGGTCCACAGTACAGATCCCTGTGACCAGACAAAACCATGAAGGGAGGCACAATAATTCTATTGTTACAACTGATGTTGTGTATTTTGCTAGAACATTATGTTTGAAATTAGTTTGCTGAAAAGCCAGTACCGCTTTAGGGTTGTGAAAGTGGCCTTGGGCCCATCTGCAGACAGACACAATATTTACCATAGGACACTTTGTTAAACAATGGGAAGGAATCAGCTTGACTGTGGAGTTTCAGACAAAAGTAGCATTCCGTTTCACAGATTGAAAACCTTTCTGGGTTAAAGTAAAGCATTCTAAACAGCCCAATATGACAGAGTTTATCTCACTGAGAAATGATTAGCCACAGATCCTGTTCAAATCCAGCAAAATGTACTTAAAAAACTGGCAGACCAATAACCAAAACACCTAGAACAGTAACATTAAATAATCCTGCTGAAACTGCTAAGCTTCTCACAGTTCTATAAGCCGTTAAACTAATGTCAATTTCAATCAATATTAACTTAAAAATCAGTAGAGTTAAGATGACTTCCAAAGACAACCAAATTATTCAGCCTTGATGATAAAAATTCAACTTTGATATTGTTTTTATTTCACAGCCATTTCTGTTAAACTGCTACCACAGCTTTAATACGATACAGTTTCAAAACAAGAACATTTTTCTAAACTAAAAAAAGATTCTGAGAGCAACCACTGCAGAAAACCAGCTCCTCCAGCACTTTATTCTGTTGCCTAGATGAGAAAAAGGGAATATATTTTTATTTAACTGTGACATAACACATTCAATTAATAAATTTCCAGTGGACGTATCTAGAGCATGACTTTCACTCAGAGGAAAGTTGGAAGCACCAAATCACAGAGCATAAACCTTCTCAGAGTTTGCTTACTTCTCAGAGCTCAGTGGGTAAAATTTCCAGTGATAAAAATATGTCTTCCAACTGCTGTCAGCAGGAAAAAACTACATAACCAAAACTCAATACAGCTCATGAACACTAGTCTTGGAAATTCAGAAACCGGGTCCAATTTTACCTCTTGGCTGTTAAATGCAAGGGTTATCAATAATAAACTGAGAAAAGGGTGTCAGAAAGGAATCACAAAGTTTTGGCATCTATCTTCTCACACCCAAGTAATTTTACTGAAAAGGGAAAAGCCTTTCATGACAGCTTCTCCCGCTGAAAGAGCAGGAAGCTCTCATCACTGGCAAGCAGCTGTTCCAAGTTCAAACAGCTGCTGGAAGAGCTGGTCCTGTGCTGCCCATTCCCTCATTGCATTCCTGCCATATCCCTATAACAGCATTCATTTAGACAAATCAGGGAGCTACCAGCCCAGGTAAAAATTAGTATTCAATTTCTTGTTTAAAATGTTAAATCATTACCATCCCAGTCCAGATTTGGTAAAAGGAAATGGTACCTTTCAGAGGCATTTCAGTTGACAATTATGTCACCTTGCAGTACTGATCAAACTGCACTATTACAGGAATCAGAGTAACACTGTGGCTTCTCTCTTTCCCAGACACAACTCCCAGCACTGGCAAATGCTTTGTACATATGAGAAGCTTATTGAGGAGGAAAAAAAAGCTCTGGACCAAACACCTACCAGAAACATTATTCATCTGTCGATGAAAAGAGGGGAAAATACAGCACAGAAAACTAACCTCCTGGCATAGGAAGACACAAGATACAGTAAAGCTTGTGACTATGCCAAATGAAGATACTGGCACTGGGTATCATCTGAACTGCTCCATGTTTCTACCAGAATTCTTGCCTGCTCTCTCATGTGTGTAATTGTCAAATCTTCTAACTCCAGTGCCTACAAGCAGCCAAAGAGTTACACATATGCACTTAATTCCATGACAACCTTTTCTCTCTAAGTGAGAGATTCCTTCACAGCTTACCTACACCTGAAACATGCTTCCTAAACTTGTGCTTGCTCTGTCTCTTTCTGTCTAATCTCAGCCCACCTCCACATACCTGTCCAGAAGCACTGACTCCAGCCAGCTGAGTTCCTGCAAACAGCATAACAGAGCTCTGAGCAGCGGAGCTGCAGGTCTCAGGAGCTGCTGTTGGACACTGACTCTTACTCTCAGGAGAAGCAGGAATCTCCTTCTTGCTTAAAAATTACTACCCATACTTTAAACTGACATTTTGCCACATAAATAGTCATTTAGAGTTTAGCAAATCTTCACAGACAGGGAGGTTACACTCCACCTTCTCTAATGCAGGAGCCTGACACATTCCACACTCTCCCCCTCCCCAAAACAGAAGAGTGTCTGTGAACTCATCCACAGATTTGTAAGGAAGCAGGGAAGGGAACAACAGCTGAACACACTTCCAAATACTTAATTCCCTCAGTTCCTGTTAGCAGAGATGACACAAAGAAGGTCTGAAGCTCTCTGTGCAAGATGCCAGCCACTCTACCATTTTTTCCTTTCCAGCCAAACTGGAAACATATGGGAGAACTGTAAATTAAGCACAACTGCCACAGAAATAGCTTTGGAAATCATACAGGAACTGAATTTTTTTTAGCAAATGGGTAAGAAGCCAGACTGTAGCAGGTAAATCAGGCAAGGTAAACACACTGAACACTCCAGGACACCCTCAAAAGCATTTACACCACCCCACCCAAACCTGAAGTACTTCAGCATGTCAGACTGATGACTGGCAAGTATTTACAAAAGGCTGTTTTCAGGACTCTGCCATACTGTTCTTCATTCATGTGTTGCCTATAAATTTCCTTTGCATTTCCCCTTCACTGATACAAGTAAATGTTCTCCAGCAGCGAGTAAATGCTGTGGATCCCATGTGATGTGAGCAGGACACTGCAAAAATAACCTCTTGGATCAAAAACCTTAATATGAGACAGTCCTCAAGTAACCTTTATAAAAAATGCAAACTGACTCAACCTCCAAGGCACACAACAAATCTGCAAATTCAGGCTGACCTGCATGAATTGAATTCCAAGACAGTCCCTGCACAAAGCACAGAACCTGCCCAAATTAAAACTAATTAGGCCCCAAATAAATCAGGTACAATTGCGTAGTTATTTCTTTTTAATAAGAGCCTGGGGTTATTGCCTTCAGGAAAGTCCTCCACAAGGAAAAAGTGTAACTCCTGGAAAATAAAAATGCAAGAGACCTTTCTATTATTCAGTGAAAGTCTAATGCAACAACACAAAGCATAAAATAACAAAGAAAACACATGGAACTCACTCTGGAAAAATACCTAACCTTCTGCCTATTTCAATCTACAAAAAGTAAATCCTCAGGATAAGCCTACAGATAAAATAACTCAAGAGGAAGAATAATTTTAAGAATCCAACTAGTCAGCTATAAATCCCTAACTAGAAAGTGTATGCAGAAAATCAAGTGAAAAAAATCAATGAAGGGTAATTGGAAACCTAAGTTCTATTTATTGAACCGATTTTTAAAAGGCACATGTTTCAAGTGTAACCAGCATCTAACAGGATTCTGTGCTGAAATTATTATTTCTAAAGGGCCACAACTCACACACACATATTAAAGTGTGTAGAAACAGCTTACCTCAAAATGCAACACATCAGCCAGTCACACTTAAATGAACACATTCTTATGCAGGATATACTAATATGCACTATTTTAGGAGGTACTATTTAAACAAAATGAGTAAATAGGAACAAAAATCAACTTTGTCTAAGATCATCAAACAGTCATCAGAACAACTGAACGAGACATAAAACCTGGAAGCAAGGGAAAGGAACTTGAGGCAACTTACTTTCATCAGAACTAGAAAAGGAAAGCTGGTATGCACTTTGTATGGAGTTCTCCATTTGTTTTTACCATGTTTCAAAACAGAATAGATGTTTAATACTAATCCCACTGCTCGGCCCTTTCCCATTTCTAGTCTTATTGATACTTATTGACTGCTTGAACCTTACTGAGCTTGAAAACCTATCCATAGCTATTGCCAAAGCTGGGGTCTGGATTTCCACGGACTTTCTGCTATGCATTACTGGCTTCCCCACCCCTGCAGGTAAACCTCCCACTACTTTCACAGCCTCTGACAATTTTACAGAACATCCTTACCACAGTCCAGTACTTACCTTTGTTGCACTGTCCACTCTCCTGCTGCAAGAGTAAAAGCAGATCAGGAAAATGTGCATCTTTTCAGTGTTTGTTCCAGAGACTCAGAATGAGAACCTCAAGCAAGCCAGATATTCCTACTATCCCAGCCAACAGCAAGTGCCTCATGCTCTACAGAATACATAAATTAACAATAAATACATAAAAACCTCACAAGTGCACAACTCACAGTGTTGTCTAGGGACTTGAGATCTTTCGCTGACCTATCAGTGACCAAATAATTTCTAGAACCCTTAAAAGCCCTGGAAAACTCTCAGCTAGTTCCCGAAAAGGCTAATTGAAAAGACTAACAGCTTTAGAAATGCTAAGAAAGAAGTCAGGTCAGGTTGGTGCCTTTGGGTATCCTGTATTTACACGTGGAAACAAAGAATGATCACATGATAAGCATGTAGGTTCATATGGATCTGTACATGGTCTTTATATGACTTTTTCAAAAGTTTATTTTTGAATGTGGAATATAAACACTGTTTCCTGTCATAAAAACACTGAACTGCCATGTTATTGCAATTCGCAATAAATCTTAGCAGCACACTCTTGCAATAAATTATACTGCCTCTTTACAGTATTTCTAATTATCTGCAAAGTGTTTTCTTAGAAGGATACAAATATAGTGAGAAGCCGAGGAGTCTGTCTGGCTTTGAGAGCCAGAGACAGGAACGTTTCTAATCTTGTCCTTAAATCCAGTGTCCAAGAATCCTTGAAAAGAAAAACAAATAATGACAGTTGTTCACCAAATATGTACACTCTGCAGAAAGTACTGCTTGGACCACAACAACTTCTCACTAGCAAACAAGGCAGCCAGCACTGGATTTAAAAGGTTTTCCCCTTCACTGTTACTGACGTGAATGTGTTTGCTCACTCCCCATGAAAGCATACAGAAGTCAGAGGGGAGTTCAGTATTATTCCTAGATAAGAGTTCTAGAAACACAGTGTATCTATTTAAAGTACAAAACTGTCACATGGTTTGATGGTTTCTTTATACACAACATGGTTTGATGGTTTCTTTATACACAACAACTGCCCTGAAAGTAAAAGCACCTTTAAAAGACAAGCAACCTAAGACAAGGATAAAAAAATATTTTCACATGTATTAAATAGCGCACAAAATTTGTAATTTTGCTCTGCTCAGTTTTCATCTTTTGCTCCTAAAAAGATCTGGGAATTACAAGTTTTGTCCATAACTACTGCAAGCATCATGACATGACACTGGTGGGTATAATGTTTCTAAAATAAGGATTTGGAGAAAACCAGCCAATGCAGGAAAAATAGACCAGAAGAGACCAAGAGCATTAACTGGAATGCTGTCCTCTGCCTGACGTAGTGTCTCATACACGCAAGAAAATAACAGTTAAGGAAAAAAGTCAAACTACAACTAGGAATCCACCAAACACTCATGTCTTGTATTTCAAGCCTTCAGTGAAGTTTGTTTCTGCCTGAGAAAAAGCCAGCCAATGAAAAAAAGCTCTGCTTCCAACAAGTACCAGGAGCTCCCTAAATTTACTGCTGTATACATATATATAGCAAGCTGTTCTCTCAGCTCAGATCTACCCTTATTTCACCATGCTGGAGAGTGTACAGAATTGACTTGTTGCATTTACCAACTCAGTATCCAGACAGTGGTGTACCACAGCAGGCTGTATATTACCAAAGAAACCTTGTCTCCTACAGAGAGGAGGGCAAACGATTTTTCAAGATGCATTACACAAACTGACAGGAACTCCAGCTATATAAAGCATCAGATGCCTGAGAAAAATGTATGCCATAAGAACTCTGCTTTGTAAACTAGTGACTCACTGCTGCTCTTTCTCAAACATAAAACAATCTGTGTTTCAACACTAACATGGAATGAGTTGAACAATTCCCACAAGAAAATATGACTGAATGTTGACTAAGAGCTTGGACACTGGGTTACTCAGAATAAACCTGAGGATCTCATCTTGGATAACACATTAAAAAAAATGCTGCTAAGTATAATTAAAAAAGAGTAGTCATAGTCCATCTCTGCGGTCAACCAGTCTATCTCATTATTTTTTGCTAGTCCCAAAGGAAAATGGCAGGATATGCCTTTTTTTGGTGTTAAACTGGAGCTCCTCATCAACTGGTACATTTGAAGTCAGTCCTAAGGCAAGTATCACAGAAGCTCTGATTTGGTATCAAAAGCAGAGTGGCAACAATGCAGGCTGAAGACATCTCCTTGCACCAGAGTGGCTGCCCACAGCTGCTCAGCCAGGCCAGCACAACTGTCCACATGGCCAGGGAAGCATTCAGAGCAAGTAACTCTAATAAATACTACACATGCTTTGCAAACAAATTAGTGCAGATATGTGTACATGGGAGCTGTTTACACACACATTCACAGGCAAGAAAGCAATTCCTTGATCCAGCCCTTGTGCAGGCACACAACCAGACATTTCCAGCACAACACAGAAGCTGAGGTGCAGTTTTGCAGTGCAGGAGCAAGCCACCAGCAGATGAAATGGTGGCTGTACCTTCCCCACAGGTATTGCCAGCAATACTTTGGAACATCAAACCACAGCTCTGGAAGTCACCTCCTAACCATCACCCACATGGTGTGCAGAGTGCTCAGTCTAAGTCACCACAAAACCATCTCTGCAACACAGATACTCACCTGGAAAAGTTCTTTAAATGAAGGATGTACCATGGGGTTTGGAACAAATGGCAAAGCATAGAAAGGAAGAAACTCTGTAGTCTGGCTCAGTGCAGCTCCTTTTGTTTCCAAGTATTCCTTGAAATAAGAAATCCTTTCATCAAGTTCAGCTTTGTCCTAAGAAATAAAGCAGCAGATTTAATTTAGAAAACTACCATTCTGAATGAACTGTAAAGCTGGCAAATAAAAGAAGAGACCCAACTATATTAACGAAGTTTGAAATTCCAGAGTATTTCTTATCTAAGAACCAGTACTTATTTAACTAGAGAAGATATTGTATGTTTTCACCAAACATAAAAGAAAATGTAAACCAATGCTGTTGTTTCTCTCATCCAGGTCCAAAGAAAGAAGAGACAGACAACTGCTTTTTGAATGTAAATTATTCCTGTTCACTTTAGGCTAGATTTTTAAAGAAAAATACCATTGCTACACTCAGGGCAGAGAGAAAACACATACTTTAGACATGCTTTATTTCAGTGGTAAGTGCAGAAACAAAAAAAAATCCACTTGCACAGCAGTGGGAACTGGAGCTGGCACACAGAACAAAACAAAAGCTCCGTAGAGGCTGGAAAACAGACTGCAGGCATCCAAATATTCCTGTAGTAGCTGACAGGTGAAGGCCAGGAGCTATTAAGTCCTGGCTAATGTGGCTGAGTCCAGGCTACTTAAATGTCTCTTCATCATAAAAACCCCATGTAACAGAGATTTTGTTTTATAACATCTTGGAATTTTTATTTCTCAGCATGATATATTGAGCTCGTCAAAACTGAGCTTTCCCATTTAATCAGAAATTATTATATTTCAACTCACAGCTTCAGTCCAAACTCTGAGCAAATAAATGTTTTAAGAATCTGCTATGACCTACAATTACAAGCGTTAAAGTATTGCTATTTTGGTATTTTCCAAGTTGAAATACTTCAGGAACTTCGGGATAACAATACAAAGGATCTGGCTGAACTAAAATGCAGACTGTGGCCAAAACTGGATACATATTCTTGGAATGATTAATAGAAAATACCCCATTCTCATCCAAAGACAAATAAATGAAGTAAAACAAACAGCAGCAATCTGAGGTTTGAATTGTGAACTAAACTTACAGGCTTTCCCATATTTTGTTTCAAGAGGAAGGTGGCAAAGTAGATGTGGAGATAGAACTCCAGGTTCTGAGCAACTGGATCACTGTCATGGACTGAAGACAAAATATGCTCCTCCCAGAGCTGGAAGAAAACTTTCTGATCACCATCTTCAAATGCTGTAAGCATTCCTTCCTGTGAAAGGGAAAAGCATCAAGTGAAAACCCAAACACAGAAGGTTAGTGAATGAAGAATTCCAGTGCCATCTGAACACTTCCAGTCAAAAGCTTTATTCAAAAATGCTCCACCATTCAATGACCACCCAAATATTTTCTTCATGTATCCTTAGTATCTTTGAGAGCCTGAATCAACCATGAATACAAGAAGCAAAGCCCAAATTTTCAAGCAGATCAGTAAAAACTTAAAGTAGTGTAAATCAAAACTAGTGCCTTGAATTCAAAATTACTGCAGTTGTTAAAAAAAAATAACCCCAACCCCAAACTTGAAAGTTTCTTTACTGGAAGAAGACTGCCAGGGGATTTCTTCAAATAATCAAGAATCTGTTCAGACAATTCACTGTTGTAATAGCTCACAGGATGGTTAGTGACCTCTGTTTTCATTATTACTCAAAGTTAAGTGTAAATGATGCATTACCTGAACAGGCAATGAATCTTCTGAGGAAAGATCTGCTGGTTTAGGTAGTGGCTTCCCTTTTATTGTACATTCCTTTTTAAATACTTTCACTGTTTCTTTAAATCCGGCAAAATCCAAATACTGCAAGATAAAAACATAGAGGAACAACATTTGTTAGATGATTAATGCTTCAGTAAATGATCAATCCTTTTTTTAAGTGATTAATGCTTCAATGAATGGCCCGTGAAATGCCAAAGTTTCTCTGCTGGATGGTCCACAAATGCAAAGACTGCAAAGTGATAAACCAAGAACTGACAGCTCATGGTAGGAAAATATTGTCTCTAAATTTCCTCCTCCATCCTAGAGACAACTGAGTACACCATCTCTGAAAGAATGATGCCTCTTGGTTTAGCCAGTAATTTCAATCAACTAAAGAAGAAGATTTACAGTTGGCATTTAATGGACATTGAGCCTTTTGAACTGACAGAGCATGACAGGAGTCAGCACAATTTCAGAGTGCAGCAAAACTCATGCAGATAAATAACTCGAGAATCCAGACCTCAGTTACAATGCCTGGCTCTGAGTGCAAACACTGAGAAATCTTGCCTTGCAAGAATCACTTAAAAAAAAAAAAAAAAATAAGGAGAGAAAACCAACCTCTTTCACTAGGCCAAGTAATTCAGCTTCATACGTTAAAACATCACCCATTGCTAAGGGCTGCTGCTACTTCTCATCACTGATAAAGCTGGAAAATGGCAAAGAAGGGGGTGTTAGTGCACAGCACAGAGCCCACACAGTACAGCCCTTCAGCCACAGCATCTCCAGAGGGCATAATGAGGCACAGGCAGACAGACAGACAGACAGACACACAGGGACACCGCAGACACCCATCACCCCCTCACCCCCACTGAGTGCAGCCTTCAGGATCCTTGCTCCAGCCAAAGGGATGCCATGAAGCTGCCCCACTCTCACCTGCAGCACATCCCACTGCCTCACATCCTCCCTGTCCCATCCTTCCTGCCCCACATTCTCCCTTGCCCCAGTCCCACCCCTCCCACATTCCCACCCGCCCAATTCCCCCTCTCCCTCAATTCCCCCCTGCCCCATTGCCCCTATCCCCTACTCCCACTTGCCCATTCCCCGTCCCTCCCCATTCCCACGTGCCCCATTCCCACGTCTCCCCAGGTGTCCCAATCCCACCTGTCCAATTCCCCCTGTCCCCCATTCCCAGGTGTCCAATTCCCCCCTGTCCCGCATTCCCAGGTGTCCAATCCCCCCTGTCCCCCATTCCCAGGTGTCCAATCCCCCCTGTCCCCCATTCCCAGGTGTCCAATCCCCCCTGTCCCCCATTCCCACCTGTCCCACTCTCCCCTCAGCCGCCGCCGGTGTCGCCTCGGCAACCGCGGCCCCGCCCGCGCGCGTCACGCGCACGTGACCGCAGTCAGCCAATCGTCACTCGGGCCCGGCGGTCCCGCGGCGGTCGCGCGGACAGCGCCCCCTGTCGCGCGGCGGGCGGAGCGGCCTGAGGGGCCCGGGCCGGGGCTGGGCCGGGGCCGGGCCGGGGCTGGACCGGAGCTGGGCCGGGGCCGGGCAGGACGAGCGGCCCCAGCAGCGGCTGTCGTGCCCCGCCCCGCCCGGGGCCGGGAAAAGCATTCCCGCCTGGAGGTTCCGTTTGAAAGAGATGCCGGGCGAGGAGGGCGGAGCTGTGTGCAGGGACCGAGCGGGACGGGAGGAGGCTGAGCCCCGGCCTTGGCGCGGTGGATGAGCCGTGCCAGGTCCGCACTGTCCTTACCTTACCTGATGGAAGCGCCACCAAAGCAAAGAGGAGGATTGGCCAAACCCTTTAGCGGGTCTCTGTCCCTTTTTCAGTTAGCAGTGCTGATGAACTTTTCCTCACTAACATTTCCAGCAGACTTTATCTCCACACTGTAACAACATTACATGATCAGTTAGGTGCTGCCCAGGGTCTCGGTCCCACTTCCTAGTCTTGTGTTCCACCAAAAGGACCCATTCTTCTGCATCTCCCACAGATGTCTGCGCAGACACTGCGCAGCACCATCTTTGCTCCTTTAAAAGTCTCCTAAAGCGGAATTCCTAAGCTGGAATTCCTAGGAAGCACATCAAACTGTTCAGAAAGGACCCTGGAATTCCAGCCCATAAGCCCTACAAATCTCTCTGCAATGCCTAGAAAGAACAAGGATATACCAGGAAAGCACAAAGAAATTTTCAGAGAGTGGTGGCCTAGAGTCCACTCTGAGTTCCTAAAAAGCCTGCTCAAAATCCACATAAAGCCCATTGAAATTTCTAGAAAGCCCATGGATATTTTATAGAGAGCACCAGGGAATTCCTAGGAAGCAACAGAAAATTTCTGTTCTAAGTTAGTTTGTGTTCTCATTGCTCCCGGGGTGTGTGACAATTAGCATTTAAATTAGCTTTGGAGCTGCTTTGAGCAATTCCACTGCTTTTGGAATTAGCTTTTGCAGTTGTATTGAGTATTGTTAAGTGGTCAGGATGATGATGACTGAGCTGGCAACTGGGATTTCTGGGCTTGGAAGTTTCTATACTAAATACCAAATTTATATCTATATAGAAAACATAGCGTTTATACACCCCAAACATCTAAAAACATAAACAGTGGATATAGTCTGTACTTTGAGGGAGTATCTCTGTACCAGAGGTTTCATCTTTCTGTTCCCTACACTCTTTCAGAGATCCCACAATAGCAAAACTTTAATTATTATTGTTGAGGTTTTTCCTGCTTGAGCCCATCAGGCACTTGGCTCCTCTCTGGGGGAGGAAGGACTGGGTCCCTTGGCCATTTGTAGCCCACTCACCCCCACTGAGTGCAGCCTTCAGAATCCTTGCTCCAGCCAAAGGGATGCCATGAAGCTGTGAACGCCTCCTGTTTGTCACCTGTGCTTTTAACTTTTTAAAGAAGTGAAAGACTCATCTTAGAGAGTGCCTTCAAGGTTTTGAAGTATACCAGCTGCACTTTCCCCTGTGTTCCCTCTCACCTGCTTTGTTTTGGTGATGATCAGGCACTGCCCATGGCCAAAGAAAGGGATTTACAGAGTCTCACTTTTCAGGCTGATGTGCATCCAGCTGGCTTTCTCCAGAACTGACATTGTGCCCTGGGCAGGATGATGGCAAGGGCTGTGTGGGATCTTGGCTTTGCTTGATGTATTTTTTTTTTTTTTTTTTTGTGCTTATTCTCCTCATGTTCTCGCAGAATTTCTCCTCCAGTGAGCAGACAAGGCTGCTATGCCTTGTGTCATGCTCCTGGGCTTCTTGGGGAAGGACACTTCTCAGGGAGGCGCTGCCCAAGGAAGGGAACATCCACTGCTGGCCAGCACCTGGGCTAAGATCAGGAAGATGCAAATTGTGCCTCAAACCTGAAAAGCAGGACCCCACTGTCCTGTGTATCCAAAGAAGGATATTCATCAGCACGTGGGGTATCACCCCAGCTCCACAGTTTGGATTTTCCTTGGGGCAGGTGTCACTGCCATCTCTGCCTGGGGGTTGAGCATTCCTGGGGCCACTGGCTCTCCCAGCTGCAGATCCCAGACTGGATCAGAACCTGTTGCTTGATTTGAAAAGAGAAGGCTGTTCTCTGTGCCCAAGTGGAAGATTTTTGCAGGAAATTTCTTCTTGCAGTAGCCTTTCCAAGTGGTTGCATTAAAAACAAAAGCAAGCAGGGAAGAGAGGAGCATTTTTCAAAACTTAAAGATGCTGTTATTTTCTGCGTCATACTTCATCTCTTAATTACCAAAAATATTTTAGTTTGGATTTTCAATTAATACTTTGAAGGTGATTTGAGGTAATAAATAAATAGGAAGTTATTTGAGATTTTAGTTGATGACATGTTGGTTGGGTTGGAGCACAGACTGGCTGGAGGGCAGAAGGGTTTGCTTGGACCCATGTCCTGTGCTGAGGCAGCTGAGATGCTGCTCACACACAGAATTACACAGGAACACTTCCCCAGGGCCCTCTGCTCAGAAAATCAAGGCAATGGGATTGCAAAACCCCTCTGCTCTCCCCAGCATCAGGCTGCCATAAAGCTGCTTTGTCTCCCTTGGATGGGTCTTGTTTGGCTTCTGCTGAGCCTCAGGTTTCAGCTCTCCTCTGCCTCAGCCCAGGAGGATTCAGTGAGCTTGTGTCAGGTTATTTATATCACACCGTTCTTCAGTAATTTCCTGTCCAAGTCCTGACCAGGAGAGGCACAACAGAGACTTTGATTCTGTGTCCTGGGATGCATTAAGGAGGTGCAGGGTGAACTCAGCTCTCCTTAAGATCCAGAAACCTCTTGGCCTGCTCAATGCAGAGCAGAGAGGGAGGAGGGACTGGCTGGTGGATGCCCAAAAAGCTCCTTTCAGCTGCACTGCAAACTGTGAAGGAGGCTCCCAGGCACCTGCATCCTGAGCTCATCCTTCCATGTCAGCCCCCCGTGTGTCTCAACTGCTCCCTGGAGGAGATGCTGCTTTCTCCAACCTCTGCAAAACCTTCTTGCTGCTGCCACCACCCTGGTGTGGAAGGAGGGAGTCCTCCAGCACTTTCTCTGTTGCTTAATCCCAACAAAACAGTTGATGGTACTTTTCCAGCAGATATCACCCTTCAGAGATTCCCTACAGGAAAAGAGCTGACATCCAGGGGAGATGGACTGCTTTTTTGAGGCTGGGGGTGCCTCTGTTGGGAATGACATCAGGTCAGAGCCTCCAGCCCAAAAGGGGCCCCAGCTGGGCTCTCTGGCATGTGCTCACCTCACACATGGGTCATTAAGCTCCCAACCAAGGCAAATACCAATGTGTCAGAGGGCTGGTTTTCAGTAACAGCAAGGCATTCCAGCCAAAAATGGCAGGAGGCTGGGAGAAAGGAAGAGCTAGAGATGCTTCATTAGAGAAAAAAGAACACAAACAAAATAGTCTGGGAACTGGGTGCACAGAAACAGCAGGACACGGAGCTTCATCATCAGGAGAAACATCTCCAGTCCCAGCGGGCCTCATTGCCCTCATCACACCAGCACAGCTTTGGTGCTGCCACCAACACAGACCAATCAAACCTGACAAATGCCACCAGTACAGACCAATGGCCACCTGCCCAGCCACTCAGGAGGAAACTACGAAACCTCCAGGCCTGCAAGAAGCAAACATCAGGTTTCATCTGTGAAGGAGCCCATGAACACTGCTGTCCAATGTAGATGTTTCCAGAAAATTAGTTTCAGCTGCTTCTTGTCCACCCCTGAACCCCAGATTTCATACTTAAGCTAAAAATAAAAAAGACCTTGGTGTAAGGTTAAAGTAAACAGAGAATTTGCCCAGCCCTGCAGGAGCTATCTCAGTTCCTCCTCTGGGAGGGCATGGTGGGGAGACAAAAAGTTAATCTATCTTGGTTCTCATTGACACGGAATGGAAAAAAACAATGAAATGGGAGAGCCACCCTAAAACTGAGAACAAAGACACTGCACCAATATTTCAGGCCCTTTTCCCTTCACTCTGAAGAGGAAAAATTTGTTCCTTGCTTCATCCCTTACAGGTTATCTTGGGAGGAGCAATGTCCCCATAATTTCTGCAGACAATTAACCTCGTCTGTGCAGCCATTCTTCCCTGAGTCACCAGAGCAGCTATTTATACCCTTGGCCAGGGATGCTATTGCCACCAAACCACTGTCCTTCCCCTTGGTCAACCCTGCACCAAGGCAGTGGGCAGCAAGCCCAGGGTGTCCTCCCAAGCACTCTGCCCTGCTCCCCAGGACCTGCTTCGCCTGGACCCTTACTGTGTAGCCCCTCCTGTTCCCATTTTCTGTTCATGCTCTGCAAACACAAAGAAAAATCCCCAATACACATTGCTAAACCAAACCCTGTCAGGCAGCAGGGCCCACCAGACCAAGTGCACTGGGCAGAGATGTCTGGGATTAGTCTTGAGTCACCTCTCTGCCATATGTGGCAGAGATTCCCCAGTGGCAGAGACATTGACAGCTCACCTGAGCACCTGCACAGGTATTCCTTTTAATCAAAACCCAGAGCTTTAGCTGTGTAACCAGTGCCAGGAATTGGAATATGGAGCTCAAAATAAAACTTCATATCTGGGCTGCTGCCAGCTGGAAGGTTTGCCCATACAGAACAGGATTTCAGAGGCCAAGTCAAGCCAGCTCCAGAGGCTGGGGCAGCATCTCTTCGAAGGGAGGCTAAGGAAATGTCCAGGGTCTCCGGGAGGGACTCTGGGATCTGTCAGAGCAGCATGCTTTAGAAGTGATTTAATTTGCACAAGGGTTAATTGAGATGAAACCCATTAGTCAGGAGGGATAGAAGCTTCCTGTCACCCCACCCCCCCCCCCCCGCCTCTCCCTCTGGCAAAGTCAGGAGTATTCAGGTCCAATTAGCCCCTGATAAACAATCAGGGCGGGCCCCTCCGCAGCATCCCCAGACAGGCCCAGGAGAGCAGCACTTCCTCAGCACTAATGAGTCACTGAAA